CGGAGTCGACTTAGAAGAGGCCCAGGATCGGTACAGATACTCGTCACTGGTGTTGATGGTTCTTGAGCAGAAATTGAACTCGGGTCGCGGGGTTCGTAACGCCGTGCGTTAACCGCTGCCCCACCGCTCCCAACTACCCCTACACGCGCGCACGGTCCGTGCGGACGCGTTAACTTGCAAGAGTCACGTTCCATGCAAACGCATTTTCATTCGATCCCTTTGTATCGACGTTGCGTTTATCGCAATGGAAATCCATCTCATTTCATCTCGCGTTTTCTACACCGCGTTCACATTACGCACATCATCATCATGATCAGCGGCACGGTCATCATCAGCACGGCCATCATCATCAGGGGCACGGTCATCATCATCATCAGCACGGTCATCATCATCCGCATCGGCGCAAGTTCCTCTCGCCCAGGATGAACTCCATTGAGCAAATTAGGGGTGGGGGGTACGGAGGGGGAGGGAGGGGGCTGGGGGCTGTGTGGTGGAAGATGGGGGGTGGGTTGAGCAAGTCGCAGTGTGGACGGTGAGGGTGGGGGTGGTGGTGGGGGTGAGGGTGGGGGTGAGGGTGGGGGGTGAGGGTGGGGAGGGGAGAATGGGAAGTCTGGGGGCGCACGCGGTGACGTGCAGATGAGACTGATTCCATTGATTTCGAATTAATCTTTTAATACTCTTTATTTATTTATTATTCGGCCTAAGACCCCTGGAGGACTCTGTGCGTGAATGCAGAGTCACGCCCATTGAGCTCTGGCGCCCTCGGGGCTCCAGCAACTCCGAGGAAGTTGCCACTCGCGCGTCACCGTCGTTGCGCTCGAGTCCAATGCGTTGGAGTTGGGAGGAGCGGTGGTGCAGTGGTTGGGGGCACCGCGCGATGGGCCCGGGCTGATACCTCCAGCACCGTTTCGAGCAAGCCGCACTGACCCAGCGAGGTGAAGTATGGTCAAACCATCCTCGGACGACGCCGCGTGGGGAGGCCTTCGTATAGCAGTGGCTTGAGAAAGGAGCTGTACACTTCGTGTCATCATTATAACCAGTAGGTCAAGTTGGCGACTGGTTGAGTTATTTGTTCGAGTTAAATGTTAAAATGAAACAGACCCTGTCTAATTATCAATCCTCATTTGCTTAAAGCTTCGGTCTGCATTTGCTGTTAATGATCTGCGGCAGCCCAGTGGCGAGAAACGCACGTGGGAGTTCACGAACATCACTGTCGTGACAACTGCGGAATCTCTCATCACCATCATCAAGAACATCACCATCAGCCATGGTCGATCCACTGCTGGATGAAGGCCCCCCTCCCCAGGCCGTCGCCACTTCTCGCGATCCTGCGATGCAGTAATCAAACCCAGGCCATGCGACTCGCTCTGAGCAATCATCGCTCCATCTCCTTGTGGCGCGATTCGCAGTTCCTGGCTGCCACGCAACAGTGATGAGTGTTGGCCGTCGACCGTCAATCCGTCTAGCGAGGGGCCTGCCGGAGCCCACTCACTGCTCGAGTTAATAATAATAATACAATAACAAGGCTTCTCGTTTACCCAGGAAAGTGTCGCCGAGTCTCAAGATTCATGTTCAAGAGGGTGCTGCTGCTGCTGCGGTATTACATGACGAGAGGTTGGCTGCGAGTGAGAGGGGTTAACACACATACTAAACTCCGCACAGATAGATTCATGAATTCACCGCTTCGCTGCCAACTCCTGACCACCTCGCTTCCCAACTACTACAACGCCTGGAATGTGTCCGTGCAGTCTCCCATCTCAGCTACTGACCAGCAGTGGATAGACAATGGCTGTGTTCTGACTGTACCCCCTGTTGTTGTTGTTCGGCACATTGTCCAACGGTTCGCTCCACGTGCTGTGTATGAGCTTTTTCAGGAACAGCATTGCGGTACAACCAAAAATAACATCGGATAGGCAACAGCTGGTGATGCTGGTGATGCTGATGATACTGATGATGATGATTCTGATGATGATACTGATGATACTAATGATGGTACTGATGATGATGGATTATAAGACGTCCACAAATACACGCGCACATATATGCCGAATTATAAGACGCACCCCCAACTTTTCTTTTAAACTAAACTACTAAACTATTTTCATTTTAACAGGTAAGGCCCACTGAGCTATTTCAGAAACGACCTGGCCACAAATGATAGTTCAACGAAGTGGCTTATCACGTGGGAACGTGTCGCAACCAAATACTCTCAATCTTGATTTGAAGCTTTCGTGACTGCAGGAATCCATACTCTTTGGTTCTGTCGGTAAAGTCACGTCGGTAGAAAAAATAATAGATCACGACGTTTCTATCGCAACGCAAACCTGATGACGATTACTTGCGCCGCGATCGAAACGTCGTGATCTATTATTATTCCTACCTACGTGACTTCATCGAAAGAACCAAAGTATACATACTTTTGATTTAAAGCTTTCGTGACTGCAGGGATTCATATTCTTGGTTCTTTCGGTAAAGTCACGTAGAAGGGAAATAATAAAATAATATTAATAAACAATAAAAATTATCACGACGTTTCGACTGCATCACAAGCAATCATCATCAGGTGTGAAATCGACAGCAAGAAAATTTGAAAAATTTGCAGTCGAAACGTCGTGAGAATTTTGTAAAATATTTATATTATTTTATTATTTCCCTTCTACGTGACTTTACCGAAAGAACCAAAGACTACAAATACTCTCAGCGCGCGTTTCTAAATGCACAGGCAGAACAAAAAAAAGTTCCCTCTTTAAATCTGTAGAATACCGTCCGAGTAGAATTTGCTGTCTATGCAACGGCAACTATCCTGTAGTGAGAAGAGGAGTTATATAACTGGACCGGAGTGTCGCAGGAGGAAACATGTCTCCGGCTCGTAGAGAAGTCATCTTATTTCCTGCGCGAGTAATGTCATTACGTTGCCCCATGGTCTTTTGGCCGGTGCGGTCTCGATGCGGGCAACGTGGAAAGAGGGGAAGGAGGGGTGGGGGGGGAGTTATGCCAGTTGCCGATTTGATTTAGAGAGCCAATCGATAGTTATGAGGATTGATGGCTGGGTGGGGGAGGGAGCGAGGGGGGAGGGAGCGAGGGGGGAGGGAGCGAGGGGGGAGGGAGCATTGTCTAAACGACGTGACGTCACGAGACGACTTCTTGTGACACACGGTGACTAAACAAAGACAAAGATCCCCCGTCTAGCCTGAACAGACCGTTGGGGCAAGTGCTGTTAGCGAACACCTATGAAGGCCGGCACGGCACACGAGGGGGTGGGTGGCCAGCACCACGCCCGGCCGCCTTTGTCTCCCCAGTGGTGATGTTCACAGATCGCACCAGGTACTCATTTGAGGCTGAGTCGACCTAGGGGAGACTCATGACCGGTTCAAATAATCGGCGCTGGTGTTGACCGTGAGCGGGAATCGAACTCGAGTCGCCGGGTTCGTAGCGAAGCGCGCTAACCGCTACTCTAGACACGGTGACACACACACACAGATACGTACTAACACAGAGTGACAGTGACACACACACACACATCGTCACGCACTAATATACACACCAGCACAACGAGCTACAATTTCACACACAGTGACACAATGAGAGTAGCACACATGAATATGCACATTAATATACACGTGAAACAAACTAAACAGCTTTACACTGACACAATCATTGACAGTGGCACACAAACATACCGATACGATGGAAACCGCGACACACACTCACAAAAACAGCGTCGCTCTCCGTTGCTGCTGGAGGGCGACTGCCTCCAACTCCCCAGCGGAGTCCTTCACGAGCCTCCTCCACAGAGGCCGATCTTGACACCGCTGGTACCAGTCATCGGCAAGTCCACTCAGCTCCTCATCCTCCTGTACCACATCACTCCATCTGTTCTCTAGCCCGTGCCGCGCCCGTTTAGCCCCCTGTAACGGGCCAAACAGAATCTGACTGGGCACGCGGTGGCTCGCTCTGTGGGCTACGTGACCCAGGCAACGCAGCCTCGTTCGCCGAAGGAGCTCATCGATGGGTTTGCGTCCAGATAAATTCAGAAATCTGTCAGCTCCTCCACGTTTCGCAAGCACAGAGAAGAGAGGCCATAACCGTGACCGAGATGACCCGTAGCGTCGCAGAGAGCGACAAGCCGCGTGGCTTCCACGCAGCAGCGTTATTTACGCGCGCGACCGATGACAAGATGATGCCGCTCGACTGATTCGGAATAAGAACTCTGCTGTCAAACCGTAGCGAGTCACGAGCACACTGCTCCGATACGGAAACTCCTCCACTCTCTGCACACGTGCCTCGTGACTCGTGGGGAGTTGAGGTAGTGGAGGGTTTGATGACATCAAGTGCGCCAGGCAGGCGCTATATTTTTGTGGGTCTGATGGTAAGGCCCAATCTCTTAGTGTCACGCTCCAGGTTCAACGGCGCAATCTCCGACTTTTATCATAGTAAGCAGCAATTTAGCAGATCATCCGCATGCGTAACATGGTTGATCAATGGGGAGTCATCCCTTAACCGCACCCGGGCATCGATCAGTCTCCTGTGCGTTCTGTATCAGATGGAGATTCTTACAGCCACGCGCAACCTCTCGAACGGCGTGATCAAAGAAGATGTTAAATAGTGCAGGGACCAGAGAATATTCCTGTCCTCACGACCGGCCGCCTTTGTCTCCCCAGTACTGATGTTTACACATCGTAGCAGGACGACTTAGCAGATGGTCAGGGCCGGTGCAGATGTATTGCTGTGATGTTCGCCGTGGCCCGGAAGGGAACAGGAGTGGCTGTGTTCGGAGCGCAATGCGCACGCACGCGAGAGACACACGCGAATTAGACACGTGTCTCCTCGCCGGCGCATACCATCCTCCCCCGCATCATGTTAGCAGCCCCCCACCCCCTCCCCCCAATACCACCAACATCCCCCCCCACAAAACCACATCTTCTCCAGCGACCCCCCCCCCCCAACATCCCCAACCCATCCAGCCCCTCCACGCCCCAGCCTTTCTCGGTATAAATATCCCGTGGCGTGATGCGGGACAGAGACAGAGAGATCGGCCTGCCCTGGGGCAAGCGGGAGAAGGAAGCACCGAAACCGAGCCCAGCCATCAGGTGAGACTGACACACACCTGTACACACCCCTGAGCAAAGACCACCCGTGTAGCCTTCACAGACTTGGGGCAAGTGCCGTTAGCGAGTAGCACCTAGGAAGTTCGGCGCGGGACACAAGGGGGTGAGTGGCCAGTAACACGTCCAGCCGTCTTTGTCTCCCTTGTGTGGCGATTTTGACACACTGCACCTGTTACTCATGTGAGGCTGAGTCGACATAGGGGAGTCCCAGGACTGCTAAATATAGTTGTCATGTTGATCGCGAGCGGGAATCGAACCTGGTTCGCCGGGTTCGTAGCGCAGCGGGCTGACAGCTGCACTACCACTCCCCACACCTGTGCACACCTGTGCACACCTGTGCACACCTGTGCACACCTGTGCACACCTGTGCACACCTGTGCACACCTGTGCACACCTGTGCACACCTGTGCACACCTGTGCACACATGTAAGCCCAGGTTTACGTAAGCCAAAGTGGTTTCTTACCTCGCATTGAGCAGTGAATCGTTGGCCATTTCCCTCCGTTTACAGTTCACTCAGCTCGTGATGGAATTTCCACATTCCTTTGACGGGGCGAGGTTATCCCCCCCTCCATAGGCGACAACCACTTGTTGACAAGTAGCGCAAAGTGGTTACTCGTTTTATCCACCACGATAGGATGATGGGCCGAGATTACTCGCAGGCTTCCGCTTGCGAGCCGCTCGCTCTACCGTATACTTACAGATGGGATCGCGAAATATCATCAATATATTTTATACAAACATAACTATATATATATCTCTTAATACGACGTCTCTTCTGCCACAACGTGGCGTGTCCGTCACAACGACAACGTTCGATGCGTCTCCACGTCGTCTTCGTGCGAGCTGCTGGACGCTGCGTGTACTCGAGTCAACATCCGTGGCGATATCGAACCAGGCTCATCCGCGCTCAGCGGCCGAGATCTCACGAGTTGCATGCAGGGTGATTTGGCCGTCGGCATGAATTCATATTACTGATATAAACATTCAGTGCTTGGGTAATCCACTGCTGGATGAAGGCCTCTCCCTCCTCCACGCCATGCCATGTCGGTCTACGGTTTGTTTCGCCATACTTCACCAGGCGGGTCAAGTGCAGGATGGTCGCCACTGATGTTAGACGATGATTATCCCATAGGCGAATTATAATAACACAACACAATCCTGGTTGGCAGGGGGTTGTCTCAACCCATCAAACCTACGCGATCCATAAAGTAAGTACCACGTTGTGGCGAAGTCACCAGTGTATGGTTGTCGTATGGGATAGGCTCGCCCCTCCTGTCATAGGAATGTGGAATTTACACCACTAGCTCGGCAGGGCTGTGGACAGGAGATGATCACCGATGCCCCGATGCTCGTTTGAGCGGCAGGAGATTGCTCGGTCCAGACCCTCAGTGCTGTCTCTGACAACAAAGGTTTCCATATCGATGGAACCTCTTTGCCAGTTTCAAAATGATGAAAAAATAAAAATAGGCTTTGCCCTTGCTGGCAATGAAACAGGTGGTAGGTCAAACAGTTTTAAAAAAAAACAATACATACATGAGCAGAGCATGTTTGTTGTATGTTTTGCCGCAAGTGTGTTTGGTTAATGCAGGCTTGATGCCGTGCAATAGGGTATCTAATTAGTGTTTGAACGGGTAAAGCCTCTTCTTATTCATCCACATCAAATGTTTCCGTCGGATCTTTGGCAGGCACGTGGCAAATGCCCTCACCTCCAGCCATAGAGGACATCTCTCAGAAAATTAAAAGTACCCCGGACTTTTTTTTTGTCAATAGGTCAATGATCCTGACCCCTTCCATTGACCCCGTAGCGTAATGAGAAGATGATCTAAATTTCGATTTGAAGCTTTCGTGACTGCAGGGATTCATCTTCTTGGTTCTATCGGTAAAGTCACGTAGAAGGTGAAATAATAAAATAATAAAAATTAAACATAATAAAATAATTCTCACGACGTTTCGGCCACAACGCCAGACGGCTGCTTGCGTTGTGGCCGAAATGTCGTGATAATTATTTTATTATGTTTTATTTTTATTATTTTATTATTTCCCTTCTACGTGACTTTACCGAAAGAACCAAGAAGAGAATATGATCCTCGCCTGAGAGAGCGGAAGTTCGCCAGCAGTGGTTCGAGCGAGCCCGACTCTGCTGCGGATGTCAAGACTCTGTGTCGAAACCGGTCGGGAATCAGAATCAAGATTAGTATTCATACTGCAGGAATCCGACGAGCTACGAGGCTATTTTAACACAGATGTCCAGCAAGGGACGGGTAAGAACGTAACACAATTGATGAGTCGATTTTGTTGAATGTACGCACGCCCAGATGTGTGAGATGGGCTGTGTATTCGAGCGTGCGGCTGATGGGATGTGTGAGAATTCACTTTCATTTTGTGTTTACGTGGAGAGACGGAGATGCGAATGAGGCATTGCTGGCTAGCTCCGTGAATTTTCTCACCCTCTCAATGTGCGTCTCGGTGCATCAGCAGCAGTCGATATCGATAGAACTTCACCAGATTCCCAAAACGAGCCGTCGATCGGCTAAATCACTGATCAGTGAATCTGTCATTGTTGCTTCCAGGGAAGGATTGTAGATGTTCGGCACTCGCGGTTTGAGGCCCTGCGCTATCATTGCCCTGCTCTGCGATGCTGACCTCGTCTCGCGCTTTGCGGCGTGACTCTCGTTGGCATGAGCCGGAGTCACCGGGCCCACGCCGTGTGGGCGCGGGGACGCCTCCAACGCACGCGCTTTCCCAGAGGCACACTTTGCAGCAGTCAGCATTGGTGACCGTATCTGTGCTGATGAGTCCTGATTACAGCGAAACCGGCCCAGTGTTTGCGCATCATTGTTGCTGCTGCCGCTGCTTTCAGTTGGTGTCATATTTCATAGAGATTATTTTGATGTAAGTATAGATGCGTGTCTGTATAGCTGTGTGTACGTATAGATGTGTGTATCTATAGTTAGATTGATGTATGTTGAACTTCTTTCGCACCGTACGCAGCCAACCCTGCCAACCGTAGCATCGTGGTCCTCTCGAAGACGATAGGACCACGACGCAGTTCTCCAGCAACTGCGGAGTCGTGTTTTGCACAATGCACGAAGGCGGAGCGCTCTTAGTGCATTTCTGTTGCCATGTTTGAAACTCAAAGTCGCTGAGCACAGGGCTCAAAAGCCCAACATGCCAAGCGGGCAGTCACAAACAGCACCGTTATCATAATAGTTGAAATCGACAAAGAGTGTAAGGCGTTTCTTGAACTGAGCGGAGGTTATTGTTTCTGTAAGAGTTGGGGGGCCAGAGACGATGGTGACGACGACGACAATGGGGGAAGGGAATCCCAGAGGGGAGCAGCGCGAGGAATACAGCAGAGAGAGAGCAGTGAGGTGCAGTGTGGTGAGTGAGTGGGTGGGTGAGTGGGTGGGTGGGTGGGTGAGTGGGTGGGTGAGTGGTTGAGTGGGTGGGTGAGTGGTTGAGTGGGAGGGTGAGTGAGTGTGTTGTTGTGACCTGCAGTGTGGTGAGTGAGTGTGTGAGTGAATGGGTGAGTGCTTGAGTGAGTGTGTTGTTATGACCTGCAGTGTGGTGCTGGTTGAACGCAGTGGTGGATGATGAGATAAAAGAGTCGATGTGGTGGACCCGAGTGGAGGAGCAATCAATGAGTGGAGTTAACGGCAATATCAGCTCCGGTAGTAGCGCTCGATGAGGGATAAGTAGGCGAATGTCCAAGTCACCGGAGCGCGCTCAATCTCGCAAGCTCATCTGAGCCTGGATCGTGAGCCTGGTTCGTGCTATCGGCGACTCCGCTGTGTAACTAACCAACCCGCACTGCGCGGGAGACACTCACCCAGCAGTGGATGACAAGCGTGCTGTACATGTCCAGGGGGTCGCTCCTTCTCCTTCGCTGGCCACCCCCCTTCCCCCACCCCCCTTCCCCCACCCCCCACCCCCCACCCCCCACCCACACTGCCCCCCTCCCCTGCTCGGTAAATCACGACCCGTGCCCTTTAAAACGAAGCGACGGCTCATCCAGATTCACGGACACGCATCGCTCCGTGCGCGCGCAGTCGAGGGCTGGCGGCGATTCCTCGATAGCGCCCAACGCAGCCGAGTGCGCTGCGTGTTCGGAGAGAGAGAGAGAGCGGTGGGCTCAGTGGTTAGCGCATCGCGATCCAATTTCCCATCCTCGGCCGACATGAGTGAAGGGTGATATCTGAACCGATCCTGGCCTTCAGCTAGGTCGACTCAGCCTTAACTGGGCGCGGTGTTTGAGCATTGGCCCTGTGGTAGACAAAGGCGGCCGTGCGGGTTGCGAGCCGCGTCACTCCCTCGTGCGCCGTCCCAACCTTCGCACGCGCTCGCTAACAACCCTCGCCGCTGCGGGCAGCACGTGCCGAGCACATCGCTCGAGCCACGGAGTCCGCCAGTGCGTTCGGGTCGACCGACAACGGCAGTCGCAACGTGCGTTGAACTTCTTTGGCACCGTACGTAGCCGACCGTGCACTATCTCACTACGTGCCGTTACGTGGCGCTTAAACACATCGTCTGGTGATGCTGCTGCTGCTACTGCGTTGGCAGCGGTGCACAATTCACAAAAGCACAACCCCCCACACACTCATCAATGAAAACACCGTGGCATTTAAAAAGGTAACGTATATGATACGCGACGTTTCGGGAAATGAGCCTACTTCGCAATGGGTGTCGCACCGCGTGGCACACGACCGCGCTAAATCTCTGACTGAGCGTCGCATCTCGCCGCGTCGCGTGATGTCGCGTGATGTCGCCCCGTGGTCGCGTCGAATCGCGTCGCACACAAATGCATCGCCCTGTTGGTGTCGCGACAGCCCTGCTGTATCACTCCGGCAACAGCAGCAGCCGCAGCCGCCGTCCCCGCTCACTCACGATGTCTCCGCGCCACGCGTCGCTCCTCCTCGCCTGCCTCGTCCTCTCGGCTCGGCTCAGCGGCTCCAGAGCCGCGCCTCCAAGGTGCACATAACACGCGCGCGTGCGGCTCTCTCTGTGTCTCTGTGTCTCTCTGTGTCTCTCTGTGTCTCTTTCACTCTGCCTCTCTCTGTGTCTCTCTGTCTCTCTCTGTCTGTCTGTCTCTGTCTCTCTGTGTATCTCTCTCTCTTTCTCCGTCTCTCTCTCTCTCAGTCTATCTCTCAGTCTATCTCTCTGTCTCTTTCTCTCTTACTCCGGCAGTATATATACTAACATTGGAACGATACAGAGAAGATTAGCATACCATGATCTTGGGATGCCGCACCAGATACCTATTTGAGGCTAAGTCGACCTAGGGGAGGTCCAGGACCGGTTCAGAGCTGGTATCGAACCCGGGTTGCCGGGGTCGTAGCACAGCGCCCTAACCGCAGCGCTACCGCTCCCTCACTCACCCACCCACTCACCCACCCACCCACTCACTCACCCACTCACTCAGTCGCCCACCCACTCACCCACCCACTCACTCATCCACAAACTCACCCCATTTACTCACTAACTTATTCACGAAAGCTCACCCAACTCACACACTCATTCATCCACCCACCAACCCATTCATCCACCCACCCACTCATTCATCCACAAACTCACCCCATTTACTCATTAACTTATTCACGAAAGCTCACCCAACTCACACACTCATTCATCCACCCACTAACCCATCCACCCACCCACCCACTCACTCATTCATCCACCCATCCACGAACGCTCACCCACCCGCCCACTCAACCACGAACCCACCCACGAACTCACTCGTCCGCTCCGCCACCCAGGCTCGTGCTGGAGCAGGGAGGCCCCCCGGGCGTGGCGGGCAGGCTGCTGGGCGCGCTCGTGAGCGGCTACCTCCGTCCCTCCTCCAGCGACGGCAGAGGGCATCAGCATCAGCAGCAAGAGGATGAGGAGGGGGGGCAGTGGGAGTCGGAGCCCCTGGGATGGGATGGCAGGTGAGAGCCCACACCCTGCTGTCTTCCCCCGTCGGAGGTTCGCAGTTCGACACCAGTAGGCGCGCCCTGGAAAATACTGTCGGGTATCTTCACCGTAAAAGCGAAGCTCCGTGTGTTTCACAGCAGACGTTAAAGACCCCCCACCCCTCTCTCCGTGATGTCACTCGCCAGAGAAGGCCACTGTTGTGCCGGCGTCACGGTTCAAGTTTGCCAAATAATACAAAATACCCGCAAATGGCACAATTGGGTTCACACACAGAAGTAGCAGTGGCGCAGTAAAGCCCGCCTTGCAAGCCGGGCGCTGATCCATACCCCTACCGACACGTGGACAGCTGCCACTGGGGGTGCCCCCTTCGGCTGTGTGGAGATGAGACGCAAGTCGCGAGACGCGCGTGGGGCGCCTCTTTGAGAACCAGCGGTCTGAATCAGAAGCAGAATATTTAGCTATCCTGGTGGAATCCGATGAGCTATAAAGCTCTTTTCCACAGACGTCCAGTAGGGGCAGGTCAGAACATTACAATAACAAACATTACAACACCACGATAGCAGTGCAAGGTATAGAAGCGCTGCTGCGTTGGCAGTGGTGCACGAGCACAAACCACAATTATAATCGACGACGTTTCGGGCAATGGCTTTTCTTTTAAGACAGTGGTATTGCCGAGTGTGTAGCACGTTTGAAACATAAAGTCAATACCATGGTTCTCTGCAAACCTCCTGGCTACCATCAAAGGTTTGTACACGAAGCCATACAAATATACAAACACAGACATAATTTCAACCGTGATGACGGTTACAAACTGAGTAATCATTGGAAAGATGTGATTAACCATGCAAAAAAGATTTAACTACACTTATTTGAAAATCTTATTTGACAGACAACCATCACAGTTTTACCATGTCTAGTGGTGGTCTCCTTGTTACAGGTTGAGTCATAAACCGCACCTCTCAATAACAAAGGCTCAGCCTTTGTTATGCAGTCTATTCTTAGTCTCAAGCCTCACCTTACCATATTAATAAAAGTATGCGGCCCTTGCCCCACCACCTTCTCCAACCATTAAATAAACGGAGTGGTAGCTTCTGCAATCTCTCATTTACTTGATACAGCTGTCGTGGCTGTGACGGTACCACCTGAAGACGGAAGCTTGTGTTGCCTCCGAAACGTCGTGATTTTTATTTTACCGAAAAAACCTAAGAATATGAATATCAATATCAGTGTCACCTCCACGTGTCACTTCGTCTCTTCCCCTCCCCTCCCCTCCTGCACCCCCGCCGCCCCCTCCTCCTGGCAGCCCCGAGCGGGACCTCGCGGTGTCCAAGCGCTGCGTGGGCCTCAGCACGTGCATCCTGGCGGACCTCACGGACAAACTACATCGGCTCAGCGGCACGCGCACCAACGTGGGCGTCGGGACGCCTGGCCGAAAGCGACGCGCGGCCCCCTCTTCCTCCTCCCCCGCCGGGATCCCCCGGGGAGGCTCCCAGGGCCCGGGGGAGATCGCCTCCCCCTCCTCCTCCTTCTCCTCGTCCGCCTCCAGCCTCAAGCCGGCGTCGCTCCCACCGCGTGCGGTCTGAACCTGGGGTGGGGGGGGGCGGCGGTGGCTGCTGAAGTCGTTTGCGTTCCGTGCCTCCTTCTTCCCGTCTCTATCTCTCTCTCTGTTGTTAAATATCTGCGACTTTATTCTATCTGCGCCCCCACCCACCCAACCATCCACCAACACCACCCTAGCTGCCCCCACCACCCGCCACGAGTTCGTGTCCCTGATGGGAGTGTGAGAGATGCAGCAGGCGCGGGGGTCTTCATCATCATCATCCACGCGCGTGTCCGGGCGCGTGGATGAGAGCAAGGAGGCAGGAGTGCTCACCGAGCCGTGACGAGCGCGTGTTTGCGCGTGTCTGTGCGTGTCTGTGTGTGTCTGTGAGGTGTGTCTGTGCGTGTCTGTGTCTCTGTTTTTGAGGGTGGGGAGCGGTAGTGTAGCGGTTAGCGCTACGCTGCACTACGAATCCGGCGACCCGAGATCGATTGCCGCTCACGGCCAACACCAGTGGCGATTATCTGAACCGGTCCTGAGCCTCCCCTAGGTCGACTCAGCCTCAAATGAGTACCTGGTGCGGTGTATACAAAACATCGCCGCTGGGGAAACAAAGGCGGTCGGGCGTGGTGCAGGCCACCCACCCCCTCGTGTACCGTGCCGGCCTTCATATGTGCTCGCTAACAGCACTTGCCCCAACAGTCTGTTAAGGCTACACCGCGTTACCGGGGTATGGGCGTAACAGTGGGCCAGCAGGCGGCAGTGCGGGGTGAGGGCCTGACCCGCTGCACAAAATGAAACCTCTAAAGAGCGGAATTCAAGGTCAAACGTCTTCAATGTGGTAGGGCCCTCCTGAAATAGCGAGTCTTGAGACTCAATGAGGTTTTTATTTATTTCGTTCGTCCTCAATGGTAAATAAAGTGTCCGGTGGTATTGTCATTTGGCCAACAATTCCCCACCTCTCGTGCCACGGGGTGAGCTCCGTTCACGAACGCCAAGTCACTCCGAGACGTGCACTCCTCTCCACGTGATCACCTGCAGCGATTGAGGTGTTTACTTTGGCGAAGGTGTCATGTGTAAAATCGGCGCCCCGTTCTGAATGTGATGTACACCATCTCTCGCTTGCTTGCCCTGCCCCCCTCTCTCTCTGTGTATGCATATGACATGCAATTATATATATATAAACCCGTAGTCCCGTGCAAGTATGTGTGCAGCATTGGTGCATTACGCGCATCGCTATTACATGCATATAGATCATGATTAGTTATGATAATAACAATACTAAATGTCATAGACTGTGAATAGTCGTATCTGTGTCGGATGATTATATAAAACGGCTACGTGTGCTGATGATGCTGAGTCCAATGCACATGCCTTCCAAATACACACGCGCACGCACGCGCACGCACGCGCGCGAACACAGAAGACGACGATGATGCTGCGTGTAAATTAAAAGTATCCAATAAATATTTTATTTATCAAAAGTCATGCGAAGCGCACGTTTCGGAAGTCCCTACCTTTGCTGCATGCCACAGGAATCCGGGTGTGGCCAGTTGGCATCGCTACCCCCACAACCACCACCACAACCACCACAACCACCACCACCATCAACAGCAAGCCACTACGATGGTCTCAATCGTTATCCATCATCATCAGCAGCAGCAGCCACGTTCAATCCACTGTTGAATGAAAGCTTCACCACGCTACTGCGATGCAGCGAGCCGCCGAGCGATGGCCCATGAGAGCTCAGCTTAATTCATCGCTCCATCTCCGCGGAGGAGATCCTCACGGGCGCGATTTTCTCTTTTGACTGCCACTCCGACGTCAGTCTCGACCGCCGGGGTCATCGCCCCATCCTCTAGCCACGCGTCTTGCCCAAGCTCGCCCACCAGTGCACTTGGAAGTCATCATTTGTGAGATGGATGGACTTGTCCCCGTAATGGGAATGTGGAATTTCGCCACTGACTCAGGCCAGACATTAAGATGAGAACTGCTCCCCCCATGCCCCCCACACTGCTCGTCAGAGAGGCATATAGGACACACATCACATTACTGCATTGTACACAACACTCACACGTAGGACACACTAAGACACGCAGAACACATGGACACACTACACACACAGTACACGCCACCCTCACACAGCAACACGTATATATCATTATGTCGGGGGAGTGGTGGCGCAGTAGTTAGCGAATTGCAGTTGAACCCCGTGATCTAGGTGTCATCAGTACAGCAAACTCTGGACCGGATTCGACCCATCTGGGTGCAATCAGCATAGTTCACCTCGTTAAACAAATGCTCCTGGATTACCCAGATGTTATTGGCAAGGGCGCTCCAAATAAACCCCCCGGAGTTGCTTGTTTGAGCAAATGCTGCTCTGATATGATATAGGCGTGGAAAGCCAATAGGCCGATGGTCTTATGTATGTGTACAGTTTTTTGGAAAGACAGATCGAGGTTTGTGATTTTGCATATGCTTTGAGTCGGTATCTGCTGCTCATTTGCAGGCCAGTTGGGTTAAATCAGCGTGGGAGCGGAGCTTCCCGTTCTCACGCAGCCACCGAGCTAATTGGCGTATAATTAACACCGCCCTAGACACAGCGCGGCTACGCGTGGGGGCTTTGACTTCGCACAGGAGACGGACACGGGAGAGAAGCTCGCGGGGATACAAAGGAGGCGCGCGTAGCCCGAACGACGATGTGGCGGGACTTTGGGGAGTGTCCGCTACTTGTAGCGAAGAGCCGTGGTCTTCTTGGATAAACAGTGAGTCGCGGAGACTGGCGAGTGAGTGAGTGAGTCTGAGATGTTTCATCTCTATCGCCTGAATTGTAAGCACCGTACGGCGTTCCGGATGTGCTGGCCTGGCCAAGCATCAATCGGAATGCGTCCGCGGCTCCAAACATATCGGAAGCTGAGCGTGGTTGAGTCTGGATAGCGCTTAGATGGGTGACCATCACCAACGTTGTCAGTTGAAGTATTCACTGTTGTGTCGTGCTATGCTCTAACCGTCTCACGTCTATGCTCCCCGCATTCACAAACGCGCGGTGGTCACATATTCGTGACCAGTTTGGCCCTCGTCCAGCAGTAGATTAGCACGCGCGCGCGTGTCGCACGCACGCACGTGTCGTACACACACACGTGTCGCATGCGCGGGTCTCTATGTGTCGCACACACGCCCGCACGTGTCGTCAAGTTGAGACATCTCCACACGGGGAAGCTGTAGAATCGATCGGTGCACCAACCTGTGTGGGAGAACGGCATCTCGGAAGTTGTTCATTAGATGCCAATTAGCTACTTCTGAGTTGCGCGTTCAATGCATCGACACGAGGAGCAGGCGGGCTATCACGATATGTATTTATACTGGACTCTAGTATACTGGAGTCCAGTATGAATACACATTATGGTAGCCCGCGTCCTCCAGTAATTGGAGGAATGCGATGGGCTATGAAGTTTTTTTTCACTGATGTCCAGGACACGCAGAGAGCGGTTCGCCTGACGTCAGTCAAGTCGAAAGTTCGACTTCTAAGCGTCGTGCTGAGCCGACGGGAGTTGGCAGACCGCCCTTGGACGATGCGGATTGGTGTGCACTCGTTGGTGACCGGTCTAAGGCCATCGGCTCAATCAGTCTGCACGAGTCTATGCAGGGGTGTACATGGGACTCTACGGGTCTCAAGGAATATCAATGGGTCTCTGTGGGAATATATGGGTCTATATGTGAGTCTATGGGTCTGTATAAGTCTATTGGTCTCTATGTGAGTCTATGGGTCTCGATGTGAGTCTATGGGTCTCTATGTGAGTGTATAGGTCTCTGTGTGAGTCTATGGGTCTGTATAAGTCTATAGGTTTATATGTGAGTCTATGGGTCTCTATGTTAGTCTATTGGTCTCTATGTGAGTCTATGGGTCTCGATGTGAGTCTACGGGTCTCTATGTGAGTGTATGGGTCTCTGTGTGAGTCTATGGGTCTCTATGTGAGTCACTGAATACCGGGCTGAGACCAACTCTCTGCATTTGAGAACCCGGTCTCACCACGGCTCATTTTATCAGCACGCCCCACTCACGACTACAATGGCCATCAGATCACGCAGCCTCTGGAGGTTGGTCAACATTGCCAAAATTATCATAATCAACCAATGCGGAATTACGAAGTGTGGGTTGACTGGAGTGAATGAGTTAATAACTGAATTAATGATTTAGCGGCTGAGCAAATGAGTCAATGGCTGAGTGAATGAGCTGGTGGCCAAGCAAGCGAGTTTGTGACTGAACTAATTAATGAATCGGTCATGAGTTACTGAATTCACGTGTTGAGTGACTGATTTATTGAATAAGTGGTAAGCTAGCGAATGCGCGAGCGCGTGAGCTAGCGATTGAAAGGCGGATACATCGCCGAACGGATACACCAGCACTGTAAACGAGCCGGTGGCTGAAAGAACGACTAAATGAGTGGATGAATGAGCGGCGAGTCGGTGACATTCCGCGCGTATCGAGACGCGCGTCGTGGCGTCGGCTGCCGCCGCGCGTGGGATGGGTGCCAGGAACCCTGAATGCGGGGCTCAAGCCGGGAGTCAAGGGGGTAGCGCAGGGGAGGGAGGGGAGGGAGGGGATGGAGGGGAGGGAGGGAGAGAGGGGCCCCAACATCTGCTCCTCAGCCACGGTTCTTAACCTTCTCCATAGACACACAAAGACAAAGGTCCCCCGTGTAGCCTTGGGCAGACTGGTGGGGCAAGTGCTGTTATCGAGCACCTATGAAGGCAGGCACGGCACAAGCATGGGGTGTGGGTGGTCAACACCACGCCCGACCGCCTTTGTCTCCCCAGTGGCGATGTTTGCACATCGCACCAGGTACTCGTTTGAGGCTGAGTCGACCGAGGGGACGGCCAGGACCGGTTGAGATCATCGTCACCGGTGTCGGTGGCCGTGAGCGGGAATCGAACTCGGGTGGCTGGGTTCAAAGCGCAGCACGGCAGGTCGCGTTCGCCGGGGTAGAGTGTGGGTAGAGCTCCCACCTCGTCCCAGACGTCTGGGACAGCGTGGGGCAGTGGTCCACGTGGCTCTCTCTGGAGCTCTCACCAGTGGAGGTCCCTTCCGCCGGAAGCGAGCAATTGCAGGGGCTGCGCCTTCACCGTTTAACTTCCACTGCCCAGTCCGCGGGGGAAGTACACAATCTGGTGAGACAAAGGTGGTGGCACCCCCCCCCCTCAACACCCCCCCTCAACACCCCCCCATGCCCCTCCCCCCTCTCCTCACCCAGCCCATCCCCTCCAACGCAATGTGCGCTCACCAACAACGTCATGCCCGACAGTCGATAAAGCAGCCACGGGAACAACAACAAGGGAGGCTTTGTCTCCCCCCCTGTCCCCCCGTGCCCCCCCCCCCCCGTCTCCCCCACCCCCCCCTCCTGGCTGTAAAGAGTTTTTTTTCCACCGGGAGTCGCGGTCACACGGAGGCCTGGGACTGGGAAGCAGTGAGAGTCGGTGAGTGAATGAGTGAGCGAGTCACGGAAACGGTGAGTGAATGAGTGAGCGAGTCACGGAAACGGTGAGTGAATGAGTGAGCGAATCACGGAAACGGTGAGTGAATGAGTGAGCGAGTTACGGAAACGGTGAGTGAATGAGTGAACGAGTAACGGAAACGGTGAGTGAATGAGTGAGCGAGTTACGGAAACGGTGAGTGAATGAGTGAGCGAGTCGCGGAAACGGTGAGTGAATGAGTGAACGAGTTACGGAAACGGTGAGTGAATGAGTGAGCGAGTAACGGAATCGGTGAGTGAATGAGTGAGCGAGTTGCGGAAACGGTGAGTGCAAAGCGTGACTTAAATGAGTGAGGGGTGAGTGGCTGGGTCAATCACTGGATGAGCGAGTGCTTGAGTGAATGATTGACGGGAATGATATGAGTGAATCAGAGGAATATGTGAGCGAATGACCGAATACATATATATTTTACGGGCGAGTCAATCGCTGAATGACTGAATTCGTGGACAATGCTTTAGTGAGTGAATGAGTGAATGAATGACCGAGTGGTGAGTTCATGACGAGTGAATACATTCATGAGATAGTGACGGTGTGAATGAATGAGTAACTAGTGAGTGAATGAAATGAATTTGAGGTTGAGTCGTGAGTGACCGAACGAATCGTTTGGCGACTTGTCGCTCATGATTAATAAAACAAAATGACAACACATTCTTCAACATCACCGTGTGTCACATTCGAAGGAAAAGTATGTGATAGGCAACGTTTCGGGTTACGGCCCTTCTTCATAACACATACATGGTGAAGAGTCGTTGCCCGTAATTCCACCTATTATGTATATATTGTTCCGTGTAAGGCCACGTCATTGTTGACTGCCCTTGTTGCACCAGTGTGTAGGGGATAGAGAGTAGGGGACAGTGTGTAGGGGATAGTGTGTAGGGGATAGTGTGTAGGGGTGAGTGAGTAGTAGGGGTGAGTGTGTAGTAGGGGTGAGTGAGTAGTAGGGGTGAGTGAGTAGTAGGGGTGAGTGTGTAGTAGGGGTGAGTGAGTAGTAGGGGTGAGTGAGTAGTAGGGGTGAGTGAGTAGTAGGGGTGAGTGAGTAGTAGGGGTGAGTGTGTAGTAGGGGTGAGTGAGTAGTAGGGGTGAGTGAGTAGTAGGGGTGAGTGAGTAGTAGGGGTGAGTGAGTAGTAGGGGTGAGTGTGTAGTAGGGGTGAGTGAGTAGTAGGGGTGAGTGTGTGGTAGGGGTGAGTGAGTAGTAGGGGTGAGTGTGTGGTAGGGGTGAGTGAGTAGTAGGGGTGAGTGAGTAGTAGGGGTGAGTGAGTAGTAGGGGTGAGTGAGTAGTAGGGGTGAGTGTGTAGTAGGGGTGAGTGAGTAGTAGGGGTGAGTGTGTGGTAGGGGTGAGTGAGTAGTAGGGGTGAGTGTGTGGTAGGGGTGAGTGAGTAGTAGGGGTGAGTGTGTGGTAGGGGTGAGTGAGTAGTAGGGGTGAGTGTGTGGTAGGGGTGAGTGAGTAGTAGGGGTGAGTGTGTGGTAGGGGTGAGTGAGTAGTAGGGTGAGTGAGTAGTAGGGTGAGTGATAGTAGGTAGGGGTGAGTGAGTGGTAGGGGTGAGTGTGTGGTAGGGGTGAGTGAGTAGTAGGGGATGAGTGTGTAGTAGGGGTGAGTGAGATGTAGGGGTGAGTGAGTGGTAGGGGTGAGTGTGTGGTAGGGGTGAGTGAGTAGTAGGGGTGCGAGGGGGGTGGCGTTGTCAGGAAGAGAGGCGCGGCCACTGTTGAAGGAAGAGGAGGAGGACAAGGAGATGAGCATCACTCGCGCCATGGGGTCTTCTCTTCTCTCATTACCCTTTTAAAAGCAGCCTGGTTGCGGGAGTGGGGGTGGGGGCCAGTTGGGGGATGGGGAACAACAGCGTGAGTGGTGCGGTGGTGGTGGAGGAGATGGGTGCGGTGGTGGTGGTGGTGGAGGGGATGGTGGTGGTGGAGGTGATGGTGGTGGAGATGGAGGGGATGGATGCGGTGGTGGTGGAGGGGATGGTGGTGGTGGATGGGATGGTGGTGATGGTAGAGGGGATGGTTGTGGTGTAGGGGATGGTGGTGGTGGTGGTGTAAGGGGATGGTGGTGGTGGTGGTGTAGGGGATGGTGGTGGTGGTAGTGCGTTGGGGCGCCTGCGTCTCCGCTCTGGACGCGATGCGTCTGAGCTGGAATGCCCGCACGGCTAATTTAATTAACGAGAAGACCCATCGATTGAATTTGTTTCATTCGTTTTGATGTGAAACATGACGAGGACGAGTTTACTTTGTCTGTATTCACTCGTCTCTTGCTGTCCTTGTCCTGCTTTGAAATGAACGATTCTGGCCACGTTCCCTACATGCAGACACAAAAAGGCAAAGATCGCCCATATAGTCTGAACAAACTTTTATGGGGGCAAGTGCTGTTAGCGAGGACCTACGACGGCCGGCGCGGCACGCGAGGGGGTGGGTGGCCAGAACCACGCCCGGCCGCCTTTGTCTCTCTCTCTCTCGTGTAGATGTTTACCATGTAGCCATTTGAAGCTGAGTCGACCTAGGGAAAGACCGGAACACAGACACAAACACACACATCAGGTGGACCCAAAACTCGCACACCTCCTGCCTTTGACATTCCCCCATCCTCCCCCTCCTTCTCCTCGAGGACACCAGGCTGGAAACCATCGTCAACCACATCCTAAACATCGTCAACCGCATCAGAAACATCGTCAACCACATCCTAAACATCGTCAACCGCATCAGAAACATCGTCAACCGCATCAGAAACATCGTCAACAGGAGGCCGATGCGAGACGTCGTGCAGTGCTCCGAAACGTCGGACACGCGCGGTACAACCCGCACACGCAAGTCGGACCCCCTTGCGTGCCAAGGATACGTTCCAGCCCAGGCGATAAGGCAACGCAAAAGCAAATCTGACGGCTCTCCATCGCGACCTTGAAGACCTGGCGCCGTGGTGCAACACGCTGCGGCGCGCAAGTGACGGGGTGTGCCGCGTGCATCCCGGTGTTCCCAGCAGAGCCGAGGCCTTTGTCGCGAGCGAGCGGCACGGGGCGAGGACCCCCACTCGGGAATCAGCGGCTGCACGGGCCGACGGGTTTCCGGTTACCGGGGAGATTAATTAATTATTCAAAGAGAGGGGCTCCCGTGTCCTCGCGAGAAAGAGAGAGAGGAGACGCGTGGTGGTCGTGGGTGGGGGGGTCTCACCCTCTTCTGCGCTGCGCTCCCATCGCTTTACGCAGCGGCGAACTCGTGACGCTACGGGACAAAGATCCACTCGGGGCTCCGCTCCGTCTCTGATCGTCGTGGCGAGTTTTGTTTCGTGCCCTGGAAGATCGTGGCAGTAAACGAGCCTGCCCGCCTCTGCTGCTACTGCTGCTGCTCAGCGCGAACTCCACTCCGTTCGCGTAGCCGTGACACGTGAGTCGCTGCTGTGTCAAAGCGTTAACCCTTGCGCGTCACTCCCAGCGTGGGTTAATTTAATTCGCGTGTGTATCTCTTTGTTCCTATATACAGTGCACATAAGTTATCTGCGTGTGTGTGTGTGCTTCATAGGTGATGCTCTCTAATAGCGCTTGCCCCAACAGTCTGTTAAGGCTATACGGGGCGATCTTTGTCTTTGTCTGTGCAGGGATTAATTTCCCACTCGATGTTTTCCAGAACGCTGGCTGCCGTAGAGTAGGGATGGTCGGCGTAAGGCACTACCACTAGAATACAAGGTAAGGTAACAAGGTTTCACCTATCTATGATAATATCATGATATTATATTAATCTACTTGCCTATATTCGACACTCTATCAAAGTATCGCGTGGACCAAGTGTCAGCTCACAACGATGATGGTTTAACAAAACTCGGCCACGAGTTCGATGGCTTTTAGATGTTGCGAGATTAGCCGAGTGATTGATTGATGATTGTTTGTTAGCTTATTTATTTATTTAGTGATCTCCTATCTGGGCGGGGGGGGGGCAAGCTGGGGGATAATGATGAGAGCCTCCCCAGTGGCGCACGAGGCAGCTGCCGGGAGATGCTGGCATCGTCCCTCGCTGCGGATGTCATCATTCAGCCTCTCTGAGCTTGGAGAGAAAATATATAATGAATAAACAACATGTGTTGTTGGCGCCCTTGCGGGAAAACACGACGAACAAAGTAGCTCATCACCTTGACTGCTCGATCGCTAAAGCGATTGAGAATGTTAAAAACGACATCGGGGTCGATGAAACAAAGTACGTTGTCACTTACGTGCCCGTGATTATTTTTTTGTTTCCATTACTAACCTTCTAAAAACAAGAGCTGGCCATGTCTCGCACCCCCAGAAAGATCATCTCGCACCCCCAGGTGAAGAAGAGGAACCACTGCATATTCTTGGTTCTTTCGGTAAAGTCACGTAGAAGGAAAATAATAAAATAATAAAAGTAAAACATAATAAAATAATTCTCACGACGTTTCGGCCACAACGCCAGCAGCCGTCTTCAGGTGGAGAACAGGTCTGTCAAGTAGACAGAGTCTGAAACCATTGCCTTGCACGCACGCCGTTTCGGAGCACATCACACACGTGCATGTGTTTCTGTGTGTTTGTTGATCTTCTTTCGCACCGTACGTAGCCAAGCGCGCATTGGCTACCAGCGAAGTTTCGAGTGGACTATAAGATCCCGCTGCTGCTGCTGACCTACAAGGCACTCAATAATGGGTGAGCCCCAACATATCGACAGGAACAGATCCGTGTTGACTCTCGAACGAGGTCCCTGAGATCTTCGAATCCCCTTCTTCTAAGGACTCCGAGGTCAAGGCTCTGTCTGTGGACTGATCGGGCTGTTGCCAAGTGCAGCAGCCAAGCTATGGAACAACGCTTTGCCTCGGCTAATAAGACGATCAGAGTCGTTAATATATATTTAAGTCTGTCACGAATCCAACTTTTTCGGTGTAGTTTAGAGCGTCTGTTGCGAATGAAATCGATGCAGCAGGGGTTAGGGAAGCCGTCGAGTTGAGTTGATTAAGTGGGCTCTGGGCGGGACGCGTCACGGCGAGAGGGGGTGGTCGAGATTGGCGGCGGAGTGGCTGCCAAATGATGGAAGGCGCTTGGGAGCACGTCCACTGGGGAGATGGAGCGATGACAAATCAGCTCGTGTGCGCAGGCGTTAGGTGGATCGTTGGCATCGCAGGATCGTAAGAGATGTCGACTGCTTGGGCAGGCCTTCATTCAGCAGTGGATCGATCATGACTCACGATGACGTCACAGCCACTCCGTCTGCAGATACGATGAAGCGAAAGACATCATCATCATCATCTTGCATGCAGGTGCCACAATCCTGACTGCTGCAGCTGCTTCGGCTGCCACCAATCATGACGTTGTTGATGATGATGCTGTTGTTGATGATGATACTGTTGTTGGATGATGTTGTTGTTGATGATTCTGTTGTTGATGATAATGATGCTGTTGTTGACAATATTCTAATAATAACAACAACAATGACGCGGACGACACTGACACCAACAACAACAACAACCCCTTTTATCTACACGGAAAAAATTAGCCCACTCAATTTGTCTCCCTCGCGTCTTTATGCGATTCCCTCTCTCTGTTTCTCCCACTCGTGTTTGGGAGGTCGAGCACTCTGTGCCCGATAAAACCGGACAAAGCCCTCTCCTCACCCCACAACGATCTCGTTCAGATGATGTTCCACGTGTGTGTGTGTGTATATATATCTCCACGATGAATAGGGATATGTAAATGAACAGGATCACTCCACTCGGCGCTTTGCGAAATAGACGTATCGAGTGTAAAACAAAAGATCCCACGCACGGCGCGCGCGCCACCGCGCACAATGGCAGATCCTGAATGGGATGGAAGCGGCACGGAGGTGGCTGCGTGACCCCCGTGACCTCCCCCGTGGAAGAGAAATCAAATCGTCACCTAAATCAGGCGCCTGCGCCGCGTCGCTCGAAAAAATAAAAAAAACACAATTCATAACGATAATTGAGACAATAATTATAATATTAATAGTCGTATTAATAGTATACGATCGTCAGTAACTACAAGGCAATGGGGGGGGGGGGGGTGGGGGGCAGGAGTGGGGAGAGGTGGAATGGTGATGGGAGAGGGAGAGGGAACATCGTGATTTGATTGTAAATTAATCATTTTTATGCAAACAATGTGGAGTTTAATCCGCACTCTTCTTGACTCCCCTTCTCCGCGGCCCTCTGGACGCGACCCGAGTATCGAGCGGCCCGCGGCTGAATATAGATGCGGGGAGTGTGGTCGTGCGTGCGGGTGGGTGAGCGTGTGGGTGAGCGTGTGGGTGAGCGTGGGGGTGAGCGTGTGGGTGAGCGTGCGGGTGAGTGTGCGGGTGAGTGGTGGATGTTTGGGAGGGTGGATGATTTGAGTGTGGTCGTCGTGAATGGTGGGTGGTTGGTGGTGGCGGCCAAGGTGTTGGTGAGTCGTGGTGACGGCCAAGGAGTGATGGTGGTGGTGAGGAGTTGAAGATGGTTGAAGGTTGGTCGGTGATGTGTCAATGGAGGTGGATTGAGAGTGGAGGTGGTGGCCGTGGTGTTTACCGTGAATAGTGGTGGTGGTGGATTGCGATAGTACGTGACCCGAGAGCGCTGGGTGGTGTTGGTGATAGTGGTGGTAGTGCTAGGGAGCGGTGGCGCAGCGATTAGCGCGATGTGCTACGAACCCGGAGACTTGAGTTCGATTCCCGCTAAAAACCAACACCAGTGTCGATTATTTGAACCGATTCTGGGACTTCCATAGGTCGACTCAGCCTCAAATGAGTACCTGGTGTGATGTGTAAACATCGCTACTTGGAAGACAAAAGCGGCTGTGCGTGGTGCTGGCCACCCACCTCCTCGTGTGTCATTCCGACCTTCATAGGTGCTCACTATCAGCACTTGCCACAACGGTCTGTGAAGGCTATACCGGTGATATTTGTCTTTGGTGGTGAGTAAGTGGTTGTGCTATTGTGGTGACCAGCGGTTGGTTGTTGTTTATTATACGAGTTACGCATTTTAAACAAAGCACACCCTAACAGCTTCCACTTTATGCAGTCCTCAACTCACTCAGGACTCTGAACCCTCACCCACTCTAGAGTCACCCCAGAATTTAGATATAAATTACAAATTATGTTAAATGCGCTTTCCTTGATTACCAACCAGTAATGGAAATCTCGTTGTATTGGCGGGCAGCTGCCTGGATTCGAACCCAGGTCTCAGGAGGCGCCAACGCGGTTCTTGGGTGAGTCCAAGCATGGGTGCCACCTAAGGTAGCAAAACAACCTGAGCCGCACCGATCTATTGACACGGCCACCAAGAGGAAAGCACTCGATAAACCCGACACGTGTCAAGTTCTGATCTGATTATATCCACAGCTAGTGGCCACGCCAAGACATCGTGACCGTGTGTGGCGGCCGTGGCGAGGGAGATGCCCTGTCTGGGCTCATGGACTCGGCGTTCCGCGGTCACCGAATCCCCCCCGATTGAGACTGGGTCCCGTCCCCCTCGTCGTCTCGTTGCAGGCATGGGGGGGATGGGGGTTGGGAAGGGGATCGAGAGGGCCCCCTCGGAGGCGAGCCCCATTCGCCAGTGGCTCGCGGAGCTGCGCGTGGAGACGCAGGCGGAGGCGATGGCCACGATGGACGGGAAGGCGCTGGGCGGAGACGGCACCCGGAGCTGGGAGGATGGGGACATCCAGGCGGGTCAGTGGCCATCATCAGCAGCAGCATCGTCAGTAGTAGCATGTTTATCAGCAGCAGTAGTAGCACTCAATAATGAGCATCTTCGCCATCGACATCATTGTTGATATCATAACGGTGGTTATCATCTTCGCCATCATCGTGATTATTGGTATAATTAACATCATCATCATCATTGCATACTCAGGAAGGTATCCTTATCATCATCATCATGATGATCATCAGCAGCGGCCGCGCGAGAGGAGCACGTGTGGCCACAATGAATGGGAGCGGAACGTTCGATACGCGACGCGTGCCGAACCACTGACTTCGAGCGACGCTGCAGCCGAGGGGAGTGGGTGGAGGTAATAAACAACGCTCCTGCCTCCTCCCTGTCAATCCACAACTATTAGAGGAGGTGGGGGTGGGGGCTCGGGTCTATTGTCTTTTGTTTACCCCCCCACCCACCCACCCACCCCACCTGCCAGGCCCAATTTGGCAAAGTGGGATCGCGGGGGCACGAATTACCTTCGTGAGTTGTGGTGACCTCGGCTCAACTCACGAGCGCTCCCCCCTCCCTGCCAGCACACATCACACCAAGCTCGGGCGAGATGGAGGAGGAGGGGGGGGAGGTGATGCGGGGTGGAGGGGACAAGGTTAAGGGGGGGGCGACGTGACGGCAGCGGCGTCACCCCGGGCAGAACCAATCTCAATATTAAGTTGTCTCCATTGTTCTGCTCTTCAATAACCGCGCAACATTCCGTTCCCCGAGGGAGGAAGATGAGTTTCACCCAAACTTACCCGGGATCGATTTCTCCCACTGTGACCCGCGGGGATTTGAGAGGAGGGGTCCGGGTGGGGGAGGGGGGGAGGAGGGGAGAGGGGTAGAGGGGATATCTATCCCCTCCCTATCATCCCCACCCCACCACCACTACCGATTGTAACAACATCGTTATCATCAACATTAGATCATCACCTGGATTGTTTCGTTATAGTCATCAACCTTCGCTATTGGCATAGTAATTGTCTATTCGTTTATCTCGTCTTCACTTGGATACATTCACCACCGTCGTCACCTCGTTGTTGTATCGATGGCATCATCCTTCATTCTCATCCTGGGTGTTTGTCTTCATCTCTCTCGCCATCGATCACCCAGGCGGCTGTCGTCAGTGGCATTGCCGCTCGACGGCCTCAACCAGCGGTAACAAATGATGACGATTCATACGAAGAGTGGACAATGATGATGACTATGATCTCGTGATGCTGAAGGTGTTGATACCATATATATACAATTGGAAATATAATTATAGAAGTTATACAAAAAATTGTGAATGTTATTATATATATAATTATACATTGTAATTATAAATCACTGTTGTTTCAACACGCGATTATAGTGAATTATTATTGTTACTATGATGATTATTGCATTCATAATAAGTTGCCATGTTCTATCCACTGTTCGACGAAGACCTCCCCGCGTCGTTGTCACCCTTTGCTGCCTTGTGACGGTGCCACAAACCACGTGACTCCCGCACGTGATCTCAGCTGATCACAACCGCCGCGGGCGCCGTCTCGGGCGAGTTGCCTCCTCTTGCTGCCACTCCATCTTTAGACTCGACCACCGGCCACTATTCATCCTTTCTATCCATGACGTGTCCTGCCCAAGCCGACTTAGTGGGGTTTTTTTATACGAGAAGTCTAAATTGTCTCCAGCTTGGTCATGCGCTGTGAATCCGCGTGCTCATCTCTCTGTCTCTCTCGATGTAAATAGCAGACCCCGCATCTCATTCCATGCTTCTTCGCACATTTTTCAGTTTTTTTATACGAGAAGTCTAAATTGTCTCCAGCTTGGTCATGCGCTGTGAATCCGCGTGCTCATCTCTCTGTCTCTCTCGATGTAAATAGCAGACCCCGCATCTCATTCCATGCTTCTTCGCACATTTTTCAGTTTTTCTTCCACATTGTTCGTTCATGTCCACCTTCCTGAACCAATATTTCAGAGCAAATGCTCTGGGGATGCTGCAGCTGCGGTGGCATTGATACACAAACACACACACCCATCTGTGTGTGATCCACCAACCCTCGCTGCTACCACAACACGCAGTGTTAGATCACAGACCACGTGCCCCCCCCTCCCACCCCCTAGGGGTTTGCTCCTCAGGGGGTCTCGTCGGGAGCTCTGGCGCGCCCCCCGCGTGCTGCGCTCTCATGCGTCGCGCGCGCCACGTGAGCGCCGAGCTCGCGCGCCTCTTCCGCCGGCTCGAGGGGGCGCGCTCGCACAGGGCGGGGGGGGGTCACCACCCCCCCGCCGTGGAGGCCGTGGTGGTGGGGGGGGCCGTGGTGGTGGGGGGGGCCGTGGTGGTGGGGGGGGGCGTGGTGGCGAGCAGGGGAGGGGCCCCGTGGAGGCGCGTGCACGCGGGCGCGCTCCGCCTCGCGTGTCACGCGCGCGCCGCCGTGACGCAGATGCGCGCGACCTCCCCAGCCGCGTCGAGTGAATGCGCCCAGGTGAGTGGGAGGGAGGGGGCGGGGCAAGGTGGGAAGGAGGGGGGAGGGGGTGAAAGAGGAGGATGGCGGGAGGGGGGAGGGAGGGAAAGGTGGGTGAGCAGTAAGCAGCGCCTCGGTTACGGTGATGATGTTAGTGCTGAAGCTGCCGGTGATGGTGCTGGTGAGGATGCGAGTGATGATGATGATGGTGCTGGAGAGGATGATGATGATGATGGTGCTGGTGAGGATGCAAGTGATGATGATGGTGTTGGAGAGGATGACGATGATGATGATGGTGCTGGTCAGGATGACGATGATGATGATGGTGCTGGTGAGGATGCAAGTGATGATGATTGTGATGATAATGACGATGCTGACATTGAGTTAATTAAGGTCATGATGCTGTTATGGAGGTGATAGTGATGGTAATGATGCTGGTGCTTAAGGGATGATGTGTGCGGTAATGATGGTATGGAGATAATGATTGCAATGATGCGAGTGATGATGATACTGATGAGAACGTCATGATGATGGCGATGATAATGGTGATGATGCCATTATGGAGGTGTTAATAGTACATATGCTGATATGGTGGTGATAATGATAATGGCATGGAGTTGATTGTGATGTTGGTGTCGCTAATTTGGAGGTGATGATGATGCTGTATGTTTAGGATGAAATTCGCCTCCTGGACTCGTGTCGGAAGCTGGAGAGCCTGGGGCTGAGGTGAGTGCCACTCACGCCGCCAACGAGGCGCCTTGTTTAGAGGCCACCACATGCACTGCCATTAATAATGCGACCACACATCGCCATCGCTTCCTTCCTTCTGCTCGAACCCGAAGCAGTTGCAAAGTCAGTACGCACCATTTAAATGCCTCTGGGTGCCACTCCAATGTCCTCCTCCTCCATCCCGCGCACGTGTCCCACCCATCACAACCTGCTCCTCCATCCCGCGCACGTGTCCCACCCATCACAACCTCCTCCTCCTCCTCCATCCCGCGCACGTGTCCCACCCATCACAACCTCCTCCTCCATCCTGCGCACGTGTCCCACCCATCACAACTTCCTCCATCCCGCGCACGTGTCCCACCCATCACAACCTCCCCCTCCATCCCGCGCACGTGTCCCACCCATCACAACCTCCTCCTCCATCCCGCGCACGTGTCCCACCCATCACAACCTCCCCCTCCATCCCGCGCACGTGTCCCACCCATCACAATCTCCTCCTCCATCCCGCACACGTGTCCCACCCATCGCAACCTCCCCCCCCCTCCGCGTCTTCTTCCTGTCTTGAAGGTGTGCCAGAGAAGGAGGTGCGGATCCCCTCGGGCCCGAGTTGGGTCGCGTCGCCACGCAGGTGGGGAGAGACTTCAGTGGGATGCTCGCCTCGGCACTCACGCACCTGGCGCAGGTGAGAGCGGGGAGGGGTGTGGGGGCGGGGTCACCGTGACCCCGTGACCCTGCGCATTGGGACTTTAACGCTGGTGTGGAGCTGATGTTGGTGGTCGTGCTAACCTTCCGGTGATGATGATGGTCATGCTCGTGATGATATCATTATGGAGTTGGATTATTATGATGATGGTGGTAATAGTGGTGTGTAGTTGATGCTGCTGATGGTGTTCATACGGATATAATGATGATGTTGTTTGTGACGATGTAAGGAGGTGGAAATGACGGAACAGGTTAGAGAGGATGGATGAGAACGGGGAGCGATGTAGTTGTGAGCTTGTGTGAGTGAACTTGCTGATAACCGGCACGAGCGGTGCCAAGATCGACCTTTGTGGAGGAGGCTCGTGAAGGACGCTGCTGCTGGGCAGTTAGAGGCAGTCGCCCTCCAGCAACGACGGAGGGCGGATGAGCGACGCTCAGAACAACGAGTGGAGCAGAGGACGGGTAAAACGCAGAGAGTTGGCACAGTGGGAAGTCCAGGTGGGGCATTTGCTAGTCATCTCAGTAAGTCAACGCACAGCACCTGTGTCCGTCACGTGGCGTCCTCCTGCCAGAGAGTCTTCCATGCTTAGCGTACTGTTTTCAAAGCGCACTTAGCCTGGCACAACTTTGGCGATGTCACTGCCACTCAGTGATTGAGATGACTGGCTGATGCACCACCTGCGTTCCCTCCCGTGCCAACTTGCAGCGTCTTAGCAGCTGCACGCGAGCTGATTCCATCATCGCTCCATCTCGCCTGGCGCACGTCCTCTCGGATACCGTTCCATTCGTTGGCTGCCGCTCCGTGAGTCATCTTCACCATCGGCGCTCATAGCCGTGACGCGTCCTGCCCAATCCCACTTTCGTTTATTTTTTATATAACGCGCATCTCTCCGTATATGTACGCGTGTATATATATGTGTGTGGCCTTGATAGGTGCTCTCTAACAGCACTTGCCCCGACAGTCTGTTGAGGCTATACAGGGTATCTTTGTCTTTGGTGTGTGCATAGTGTGACGATTAGCGCGCTGTGCAACAAACCCGGCGACCCGAGTTAGATTCCTGCTCACGGCCATCAACACCAGTGACGATTATCTGAATCAGTCCTGGGCTTCATCTAGGTCGACTCAGCCTCAAATAAGTAGCTGGTGCGGTGTGTAAAACATCCCCACTAGGGAGACAAAGGCGACCGGGCGTGGTGCTGGCCCTCCACCCCCCCCTCGTGTGCCATGCCGGCCTTGATAGGTGCTCGCTTACAACACTTGTCCCAACAGTCCGCTAAGGCTAGTATGGGGGATCTTTGCATTTGTCTTTTGTGTGGGTGAAGGGGCGAGGAAGCTAATTGCTGTAATTACTCCGGGTCCAATCAGCATCAGCCGGACTACAGCGCGCGCGCGCCTCATCCGTCCGAGTAATACGTTCAATTAGAAGTCCGGGGCGTGGGGGGGGGGTTATTTAATTATTACGGATAATTGTTAATTTATTTAATTCGTCGCGTTTTATACATAATAATTTTTTTTGTCAACTTAACAATGCTGTGATGACATTCCTAAGTGGCGCAGCGGCGAACGCTCCGTAATTACGACGCATTAACCAGCGCCACCAACACAACCACCACGGCCTGAATGTTTGGTCAAAACTTTAACATATTTATTTATATTCTGCAATGAAATAAATTCTTCAATTTATATATTTTGTACTCAGGAATTAAAATAAGTAATGTTGTTAATATAGATCTGGCGCCCATTAACATCCCTCTTCACAATTCTCGCATTGGCTGGAGGGGGTGGAGTGGGTGGGATGGGTGTTGCGACAAACAGCTCAACATGTTCGTCAACAACACACAGTGTGCGTGTGTGGCCCTTCAAGCAAACAAAGTAGACACTTGGCGACGTTTCGGACAATGGTCCTTCTTCATAGCAGACAGTAGGCCCGGCATCGCCACATAAGTGGAGCTTTTTTCTCAAGTTGCGCGTGCTCGCGTTGCACGCATTGTGCGATGAGTTATGGTCAGGGGCGTGCGTGAGTGCGTGAGTGCGTGAGTACGTGAGTGCGTGAGGCCGCCTGTGATGCTTGGCCACCCACCTCCTCGTGTGCCGTGTCGGCCTTGATAGGTGCTCGCGAACAGCACTTGCCCCAAAAGTCTGTTGAGGTTATACGGGAGATCTTTGTCTTGTGAGTGACCGCGTGTACGGTGGTGCAGCGGTTAGTGCACTGCGTTACAAACCGGCGACCCGAGTTCGATTCCCGATCACGGCCATCGTGGGTGGCTGCTGACCATCCACCCCCTCTCGTGTGCCGTGCCGGCCTTCATAGGTGCTCGCAAACAGCACTTGCCCTAACAGTCTTTTCAGGCTATAGGGCGATCGTTGTCGTTGCGTGTGCGCCTGTGTGTGTGTGAGAGTCCTATATATACACAGCGCGTGCGGCTGCGTGGTAATGCTTCGTAAAGACGCCGTCTCTCACACGCGGCCGTGATCTACAGCGGCAGCCTCACGGCGTCAAGCGACTCACCCCTGACCCCATCTCACCGCCCCCCTCCGCCCCCCCTCGCCCTGACGGTGGGGGGAGCGGTGGTGGGGGGGGGGAAGTGGTAGGGGGGTGTGGAGAGGTCAAAGTGAAGGTGCGCTTCACACCCTCATCACCACATCATCATAACGGTCATCATGATAACCGTGCTGTGTGCACACCATCATCCCATCGTAACAGAACCCTCCTCGTCACTATCACCATCAACCACCACCACCACCAACATCACCACCACCAACATCACCACCAACATCACCGGGCACGAGAACTCCGCGGCCTGTGCAGGGGAACGCGACTCGCCAACCCCGAGCAGGTGGGCATCTCACCTTTATAAATAACAACAATAACATCAACAAAACCCCCTCACCTCCCCCCCCCCAGCCTTCCCTCTTGACCGCACTCACGCTAGCCCCATCGCCAGGAAGGACTCGGACTCGTTTCCCAGTTTAATTTTGTCGATAATTATTTGTGCTCGTTCTGTACGAGTGGAGTCGCCAAAAGACGTCAGCATGGCTGCCCCTCCACCACCACGTGTTTTATTCGGCTGTGACCCCCCCCCCAACCGCACCCCTCCCCCCATCCTCACGAATTCCCCCCCTCCATACAAATCTCGCATCTCTCACAATTCACAAACAACGACCTCACCCCCATCTCTCTCTCTCCGAGCACACGGACACTCACACAACGCACGAGTCCTCCTCCACCCAGCGCGCTCTTCTAGTACCACCCGATACAAAGCAAAAACAAAGATCCCCTGCATAGACTTGCATACCCTGTGGGGTAAGTGCTGTTAGCGAGCACCTACGAAAGCGGCCCTGGCGCACGAATTGAGCGGTGTTGGTCACCTGCAACCACGCCCGACCGCCTTTGCCTCCCTCTCTCCAGTACTGATAACCCGTGTCAGAGCAGCGGGTACTCACTTCAGGCTGAGTGGAACTTTTATTTAGAGGAATCTGCCCGGGATGTTCTCCGTGGCGGGGAATCGAATCTCGGGTCGCCGGATGCGTAGCGCGGCGCGCTGACCGCTGCACTACCGCCCCACCCGCATTGCACACAAAGACAAAGATCCCCCGTGTAGCCTTAACAGACTGTTGGGGCAAGTGCTGTTAGCGAGAACCTATGAAAATCGGCGCAGCACACGAGGGGGTTGGTGGGCAGCACCACGCCCGGCCGCCTTTGTATCCCTAGGGGTGATGTTTACACACCGCACCAGGTACTCATTTATGGCTGAGTCGACCTAGGGGAGGCCCAGGACCGGTATAGATAATCGTCGCCGGTGTTGGCCGTGAGCGGGAATCGAACCCGTGTCGCCAGGGTTTCTATCGCAGCGCGCTAACCGCTACACTACATCACCCCCCACACACACCCACACACACACCCACACACACCCCCCCACACACACCCCCCCACACACACCCCCCCACACACCCCCACACACCCCCCCACACACACACACCCAAACCCGCATCTCCTCCTTCCACCCCTCTCCCCCATTACCCCCCCTCCATCCTCCCACTTCCTCCCCGTGCGCGCGTGTGCGTCCGCATGCATCAGCGGCTCCGCACCTGAGCGCGCACGCTCCGTTCCTGGGCCCCTCAATCACTGCTCCATGACCTTTCGCGTGCGCGCACGTGGGGGGAGGGGTCGGGGGGGGGGATGTGAGGGAGGGGGTGGGCAGGCGGGTGGGGTAGGAGGGGAGGGGGTGGAAGCGTGGGAGTTGTGGACCTAATAATTTGTCTCCGGGTTGTGGACGCGCCTTGGAGGTGAACAGAGAGTTACAATAAAACAACAACAACAACCATCAATACGTCAACACCACTGTGTGGTCCCGACTGCGTGTCCAGAGGCCATTTGAATAAGAAGCGTTTTCAGATGTGGTTCTCTGAGGTCCTCTTCCGCGGGCCGTTCTCTAACTACGCGGAGGATTGGCAGCTGCTCTGTGAGATTTACGAACGGATTCTTTGTCTCGTGACGCCGATAGCCAAATCTGGATGGAATTCTTGAGTAAAAATGACAACGGATACTTAAAAGAAAACTCTCTGTTCACCGTCCGTATCTCCCTCTTCCTTATGTCTGCCTTCCCTTCCTCTCTACCTCTCTTTCTCTTTGATTTAAAAACCAGGCTCGAGTCCAACGAGATTAATTCGTCCGCACGGCTCGTGCGATAACGAACCCTCCGTATCGCGTGTTCCATGTCTCCGGATTCTGCTTTCGTTGAAACAAATATGAAATATGTATTTTAAAATTACAATAAGAATAATGAACATTTTGCTCGCAAGCTTCACCTCTCTTGTACGACTCCACCCACGCGTGAGTGCGGATGGGTGAGTGTGGGGAGCGGTAGCGCGCTGCGCTAGGAACCCGGCGACCCGAGTTCGATTCCCGCTCACGGTCAACACCAGTGACGATTATCTGAACCGGTCATGGGTCTCGCCTCGGTCGACTCAGCTTCAAATGAGTACCTGGTGAGGTGTGTAAACATCGCCACTGGGGAGACAAAGGCGGCCGGGCGTGGTGTTGGCCACCCCCATCCCCCTCATGTGCCGTGCTGACCTTCATAGGTGCTCGCTAACAGCACCTGCCCCAAAAGTCTGTTACAGGCTACACGGGGGATATTTGTATTGAATCGCTCAGCAATGGGAATTTAGTCGAGTTAAGTGGCGAGCCACCTCTAACTCGATGCTGTTTTCTTCCTTGCGGTCATTCGTAACCGGGCTCAGACGACTGAATCGCTGCAAAACGCAGTCTGTACGAGTCTCTGTGCGAGTCTGCGGGTCTCTATGCGAGTCTGTTGGTTCTCTGAGTGAGATATAAGGACACAGACAGACGGACAGCAGGCCCAAAGTGTACTCAGCTGTCCCGGTGTTAACAGAGGCTGTGTCTCGCGGTATCGCTGTTGCTCGATGATTACGCTCTGTGTCTCCCGCGTTGATTCCCTGCAGCACCCGAAGCAACAGGTCTCATTCATACAGGTGGTCATGTTCCACGTGTGCTGTTCCTCCTGCGTACCGTGTGTGCTGTGTCCCTCTGTGCCGTGTCACTGTGTGTGCCGCTTCCCCTACGTGCCGTACGTGCTGTTCCCCATGTGCGCTTCGTGTGTTCTTCCTCTGCGCTTTGTGTGCTGTGTTCGTCTGCATGATCTCCCTCGCGTTGATTTGCTGCGTGTTGTGTTGTGCGGCTGTGTTGTGCTGCTGTGTTGGACTGCTGTGTTGTCCCGTTGTGGTGTTGTGTTGTGCTGCTTGTGTTGTGCTGCTGTATTGTGCTGCTGTGTTGTGCTGCTGTGTAGCTTTCTGAATCGTTCTCTGGCTGTGCCCGCGTGCTGTTCGTCACGATGTCCGACGTTTCGCTCCACGTGGTGCTCCTCCCCTCGGTCCCTATAAGCAGTTCAAGTTCAGGGCTATTTAGTTTGGCCGGGCGAGGACTCTGGAGGCCACGAAGAGTGTCACTCGCACGAGTCATCTGGTGTCACTAAGTTGGCAAAAATACGTAAAGTAAAAACACGAAGTTACAACAAAGTGAAGCAAATAGCAATCAGCTCAAAACTCCCTGCGCTACAGAAAACAATGCACACGTATAAATCAACTTTGAAAATCAATTACTTTACTGGAACAACAGATTCGTTTTCAAAATCCATCCTGTTCACCTTATACCGGTGAAACAGACACCAACAATCTATTGTTTTGTGTGTGTGTTTTATGTGTTCCGTGTGTGGTGTGTATTTATGCATGCATGTTGGACTTCTTTCGCACCGTACGTAGTCAACCGTGCTAATCGGAGGTGTGGTGGAAGGACAACAAACTAAACACAAAAAACACTTCTTAAGAAATGAGTGTTCAGTCTGGATGATTTAAAAGTGCATGGCTCCAGTGGCTTTCTAATAATGTCAACTTTATAGTGCTGCAGTTGGCACTGCGCTCCGAGCTCGGCGACCCGAGTTAGATTCTTGCTCACGACCACCAATACCTGTGGCGATTATCTGAAAACAATCATGGGCCTCTCATAGGTCAACTAAGCCTCAAATGAGTGCCTGGTGCGATGTGTAAAGATCGCCACTCGGGAGACAAAGGCGGCCGGGCGTGGTTCTGACCACACGACCTGCTAGTGTGCCGTGCCGGCCTTCATAGGTGCTCGCCAGCGGCACTTCCCCAAACAGCGTGTTAACACCATACGGGGGATCTTTGCCGTATACCAATATATCGAGATCTGGCAGGCGCTTGGTGATAACGGGATAACTCTTTGTGTACAGAGGAAGGAGGAAATCCGCGAGCCACTGTGACCACGCCAAATGAGCCCCGAGTTTGCTCTCTCAGCCTCCTCCTTTGCTCCGAGTTCTCCACTCACCAGCCCTCGTGTCACTCAATATCCAGCAGTGCATTCCCCGAGCAAAGACGATTCAGCTAAAGAATATCGGGTTTTTTTTCAAGGGCGACTCTGCCGGCAGACGACATCAAAGCATTCGACGCCCGCGTGGTCCCAGCCATAGCGAGGGGCATAGCGGATGTGGTGGCATGAGCCGAGCGGTGGCGCCTTTGCCGTTCTTTGCAGAGGTTTGCGGTTCGCTACCCCGCGGCCGCCGTGGTAAACACCACGGGGGGCGGGGTGAGGGGGATTAAACAGGCGCCGTCTGCTTCACGGATGGACACAAATGCCAATAGTATCAGGATGCATGCAATGCGGTATTTATAGGTACGACATCCAAGTTACAACCGTGACTAATAATGTCGCGTGCGACTGAGCGTTAGTCTCCTAAGTCGATCAGGTACGGTTCGATTCCCGGTAGCGTGAGTCACTCTTAAAGCCCCCCGAAACTCCTCCATAACTCCTAGGTGACGCATGATTCCCCTCCCCCACATGATGGGGGTGGGGGCAGTGCCGGGTGATCCAAGTTGCAAAAGTAGCTACATATGTAGTAGCTACGGACCCCGCACTTTCAAGGGCCCCGCGCTAAATGCTTTCAAGCTATCAATTCCGGTTCAGTGCTTGTGCACTTGCTCTATTGCTATAGTACTATACTGCCTTCGACTTTTATGCACGACTGGGTGTTTAAGGCTAGCGATGTGTCATTATCTGGCTGTATAGCAAATGAAAAAATACAATTACTTTACTGTGCAAGTAAAAAATGTGTGTTTTAATATTTACGTGTTTTTTTTGTTTAATTAGGGCACATTTATAACACCATATGCTACAGGCCCCGCACGAGCTTCATCCGGCACTGGGCGGGGGGGGTGATAGCGGTGTTGAGGCTGGGAATGGAACCCGCGTCGTTCGTGTGTCCGGTCCCCTCGGCTCGGGCGACGGTGGTGGCCCCCCGACTTGTAGTAAACCGAGAGCGCCAGCAGCCTCACGGGCGTTTGCGAGTCCAGGACCGCGGTGCGAGGGGGCCGGGGTTGACGGGGAGCTGTGCGCGTGTTGCAGGAGCTGGTGAGGAAGGTTGGGGACGTCTCTCGGCCACGCTCGCTCATCGCCTCCCTGGGAGATCTCCTTGCTCTGGCCAGAGGAGGCGACCACATGTGTCACATCGTGGCTCGGGTGCGTGGCTCACTGCTGTGTGACTCACTCAGTGTGCGTGGCTCACTGCTGTGTGACTGACCCAGTGTGGGTGACTGAGTTCGATTCCCGCTCACGACCAACACCAGTGACGATTGCTCCTGGGCATTCCCTAGGTCGACTCAGCCTTAAATGAATACCTAGTGCAGTGTGTACACACATCAGCACTGGGGAGATAAAGGCGGTCGGGCGTGGTGCTGGCTACCCACCCCATCGTATGCCGTGCCGACCTCTTCATAGCTGCTCGCTTACAACACTTGCCCCAACAGCTTATGAAGACCAGACGGGAATCTTTATCTTTGTATTTAATATATTTATTTGTGTACACGCACGTGTATTCGTGCATATGCGCATAATGATGATGATGATAACATAAACGATGATCGCAACGATCATTGCGATTACAACAACAACAACTGCCGTCGCTACCATCCACAGTGCGAGCCAATTCTAATCATCAATCAATGCACAGGAGGGATGTGGGCGCGCGCGCGCGTTGGTGCCAACCCCCCACCCCCCTCACCCCCCCCTCCACCACATTGTCCTCCCCCCGCCCCCCTCAGGAGGGAGGGGTGCGCGCGCTCGTCCGCCTCGTGCGCGCGCGCCACTGCCCCCCACACGCGCTCGCCGCGTCGCTCCGCACACTCGCGTCACTCGCTTCCGTCTCCCTGGGCCGGGACGAACTCATCAAGGTGAGTAATGAGAAGGGGGAGACGTCAGTTTTACCCCCCGCCCCTCCCCCCCCGAGACATTGAAAGAGGGGTCCGTCATGGGTCACGCAGAGAGGGGGGTCTGCGATGGATAGCTCAAGGGGATGTGCATGCTTGAAGGGAGAGGCGGTTCACATGGTTAGGGGTATATTCCAGGGGGGTCTATATGAGTGGGGGTTCCTGAGGGGTACTCCCCAGCGTCTGTAGGGGGAGATAAATCCCTTAGGGGGGCACTCACGCGGTTCTGTATGGGACTGACAAAACACGTGAAACTATAGGGGCAGCGAGCACTGAGAGATGCGAGCTCGGAATTACATTCAGTCTAACACGTAGCAGCCTTTCGCGGCCAATATCCACAATACAGGTTTTTTTGGGGGGGTTAGATGGCGTAAATATAAATGTGTTGCATGGTTAGGGCAACGTCATGGCAGCCAGTGAAGCAATGGGAGTAGGTGGGACAATGTGGTCTCGATTCCACCAACGTGCTCCACCCCCGGGTCTCACCGCAGTGTGTCTCACCCACACGCGTCTCACCCACGCGCGTCTCATCCCAGCCTGTCTCACCCCCACGTGTCTCTACCACGCGTGTCTCACCCCAGCCTGTCTCACCCACACGCGTCTCACCCACACGCGTCTCACCCCAGCCTGTCTCACCCACACGCGTCTCACCCCCACGTGTCTCACCCACGTGTCTCACCCCAACCTGTCTCACCCCCACGTGTCTCTACCACGCGTGTCTCACCCCAACGTGTCTCTACCACGCGTGTCTCACCCACACGTGTCTCACCCCAGCCTGTCTCACCCACACGCGTCTCACCCCCACGTGTCTCACCCCAACCTGTCTCACCCACACGTGTCTCACCCCAGCCTGTCTCACCCCCACGTGTCTCACCCCAGCCTGTCTCATCCCCACGTGTCTCAACCACGCGTGTCTCACCCCCACGTGTCTCACCCACGTGTCCCAGGAGGACGGAGTGGGCTCTCTCGCCCACGTCCTGGAGGGCCGCGGGCAGCACTCGGAGGCGGTGCGCGCCGAGGCGGCCGCGGTGCTGGCCCAGGTGCTGGCCCCGCACGCGGCATCGGGCCCCTCGGCCAAGGGCCCCGGTCTGGACGGGGCCCAGGCGCTACGGGTGGTCCGGGCGCTCACAGGTGACACGTGAACATTCATTCATTCGCATCGGGCCCCATGGACTAAAGCGTGGCATCCTACTCTTACTATCCAATATACCCCTCAGGCACGGTTTGGCTTCGTACGGTGCGAAAACAGTTCAACGTACATACGTAGTGGCGTGAGCAAGCGAGCACTTGCAGGGCTGGGCCTTTGTCTTTTAACTGAGAAATGTAACCAAGCGGTGACTCAGGCCTGCCGCCGTGCGGTTTGAACGTTTGGCCACGGTGCCCGATAAGTCGGTGCATTCTTTGCTCACGCACCACTGGAAAGGTTGGTTCCCGGTTTCCGGACTTTGAGAACTCGTAACCGATTCCGATGAACGCTTTCCAATGTCGCCGGTCATCGTTGGAGAGCCCTGGCGGTGCGAAGGGCCCCGTGCCAGTGAGGCGAGCGCGCGTCGTGTTCCGCCCCACGCGCTCAGAGCTGTGCGGGGAGTCCTCCTGCGGGGAGGTGTTCCTGCTGGGCGCCGCAGCCCTGGCGAGCATCTCGTTCCTGGGCCCTGCCGCCCGCGACGCAATTCTCGAAGCCGGCACGGCCCGCGTGCTGCTCCGACGCACGATGCGCTGTGACCCACTCGTGCCCGCGTCGGCGAGGGGGCCCGGCGGAACGAGGGGGCCGCCTACGGGATCCGCGGGATCAGGCGGAGAGACCAACCTCGATCCGGGGTTCAACTCCTCGCGCGAAGCCAAGGGGGCCGGTCCCGTCGTCGGCTCCTCGTGTTCCCCTTATGCCAAGGACCAGGTGAGTGGAGATCGCACGAATGCCGAATGGTGTCCTGTACCCCACCCCTCTCCGCCACCCGACGCAGCCAAATAGTTTGTGAATAGACACTCTCCAACACACACGCACGAATCTGCACAAATTCACAAAAACACGCACACACTCACACAGAAAAACTAAAGCCCTGCACATTCACACGTGCACTCCCCATCACACACACACACATATACAAAGATCCCCGTGTAGCCTTAACAGACTGTTGGAGTAAGTGCTGTTAGCCAGTACCTACTAAGACCTGCACGGCACACAAAGGGGCTGGGTGACTAATACCAAACCCGGCCGCCTTTGTCTCCCCAGTGGTGATGTTTTACACAACGCACGAGGTACCGTACAGTACTACACTTATTTAAGGCTGAGTTGACCTAAGGGAGGCCCATGACCGGTTTAGATATCAGTCTCCGATGTTAGCTGTCAGCGGGAGTCGAACTCGGGTAGCCACCTCTCCACCCTTACCAATCTACTCCCGTTCAAGTACAATGCAAAGTCGTCTTTACAGAGTGCACGCTTCCCAGAGGTTGGGGTGGGTGGTGACGGGAGATGGCATTTAGCGAGTTGGATCGTGAATCCATCTGTGCGGACCTCTTGAGTGCTGCCCCCTTCGTCCTGTGCTGCACAGGTAGTGACGGTTCTGGCGAACTTGGCCGTGACCGAGCGGGGTCGTGCGGAGGTCATGAGCTGCCAAGGTGAGGGAGTCTCCAAACTCCGATTCGGGAGGGTCCTGCATTTCGCTTTGTCTTACAAACTAAGCACCCTACTCATCTGTGTGATCTTTACTCCACGATCGGTTATCACCTCTCCCGCTTTAAACTTGGAGGGAGATGCATTGGGCCAGGTTCATATTTAATTAATAGTTCATGGGTGTCTGTGCAAGTCTGTGGGTCTCTGTGTACGTCTGTGGATCTCTCTGTAATTCTGTGGGTTTTTTGGAGCTGTGGCACAGTGGTTAGCACACTGCGCTAGGAACACAGCAAGCAGGGTTCGATTCCCGCTCACGGCCAATATCGGCGACGAATATCTGAACCGCCCCAAGGCCTCCAGTAGGTCAACTTAAATGAGTATCTGGTGCAATGTGTAAGCAGCGAAGACAAAGGCAGCCGGGCTGTTCGGCTAACAAGAGCACTTGCCCCAACAGCTTGTGCACGCACGCACGTACGGTACGTATTAACACACGTGCTTATGTGTGTGAGCACAGGCTTGGTGCTGCTGATGAGCTGCCTGGAGGCGAAGCCGGCTGCGAGTGCGAGCCCGGGCGAGGCGGCGGCGTGCGAGCGGGGGCAGCAGAGGGCAGCCGTGGCACTGGCGCGCCTCGCTCGCAGCCCCAGCGCCTGCCGCACCGCCGTTCATCTCGGATGTAATCGATGGTCAACAATAATCATTCATTAGTATGATCCACTGCTGGATGAGCGGTGGCCGTGCGAACCGTGTGAATGAGGGTGGGTGGGTGGGGCGGGGTTGGTTGTTGTAGCTTGCTGACACGCCCCTACTTGGCATCTGTGAGAAAGAGCTCCATAGCTCATCGGATTCCTCCTGCAGTCTAAAGATTCAGATTCTTATTGTTGGTTCTTTTGGTAAGTCACGTAGAAGGGAAACAATAAAATAATAAAAATATTAAACAATACAATTCTCACGACGTTTCGACTGCAACACAAGCAATCATCATCAGGTGTGAAAACACAGCAATATAATTGTTTTTCACACCTGATGATTGCTTGTGTTGCAGTCGAAACGTCGTGAGAATGTAATTGTTTTATTTTTATTATTTTATTGTTTTTCCCTTCTACGTGACTTTACCGAAAGAACCAAGAAAATGAATCCCTGCAGTCACGAAAGCTTTAAATCAAGATTCAGATTCTGTTATTGTTGCTGCTGTTTCTGCTGCTTGTTGTTGCTGCTCTTGTTGCCTGTGCATGGCTGTGTTGTTGTTGTTTGCTGTAGGCGGTGTTGTTTGTTGTTGTTGTTGACCCCACTGCCTGTGCGTGGCTGTGTGCTGGCCAAGGTGTGTCGCGACTCGCCGTCATGTGCCGGGTGCCAGAAGAAAGGAGCCACAGCGACGGGGTCCTCTTAGCCTGCCTGGTGAGACCAGCCGGGGTGCCGAGTCGTGGACACGGGGTCCCCTTTGTAGACCCCCTTCACGCAGGGACCCAAGACTCAGGGGAAAAGTACAATAGAGTCGTGATTTTGACCGAACCAACCTCCTACCATCGAACGATAACGATGATGCTTAAGTGATGCTGCTACTACTACTAAATTATGCCGAAGGTGATGAGTGCTGCTGCTGATGATGATGTTTACAATGCCGACTTTGATGACGATGACAAACGTAATGATGATGATCATTCTGGTGCTGCTGATGATGATAGTTGTGATGCTGCTGCTACCTATGCTTACGGTTATGATTGAGATGATGATGATAATGATCATGATTATTACCATGCTGAAAACAACTGATGTCGACGATGATCATGAAGAAAATGATGACCACGGTGACGTGCATGATTACAACCGTGATGATGATAAGCTATTACATTAACAATTTTTTATTTTACCAGGTAAGGCCCACTGAGCTATATAGCTATTTTTAGAAGCGACTTGGCCACAAATTATACCTCGACGAAGTAGCTTATTATGTAGAAATGTATTGCAGCCAAATACTCTGAATGTATGTTTCTAAATGTGGAGATTAAAATGGAGAACAATCCACGCAACTACGTGGAGACAGGCAAAGTCCAAATACACAGCAGGCGTTAGGGTCGGTATCGAACCCACGACCTCCAGCATACCAGGCGAGGTAGTCAACATCTCGCCACCGCAGCTCGCTGATGATGACCATGACGATGATGATGACCATAATGATGATGACGATGACGACGATGATGACCATGATGATGACGATGATGATGACGACGATGATGATGACCATGATGATGACGGTGATGATGACCATGATGATGACGATGATGATTATGACCATGATGATGATGATGACCATAATGATGATGACGATAATGACGATGATGATTATGATGATGATGACGATGATGATGACGATGTTGATGATGATGACCATGATGATGATGATGACGATGTTGATGATGATGACGATGATGATGACCATGATGATGACGACGATGATGCTGCCGCTGTGTGCAGGCAGCTGTCCGTCGGCTGGGCGTCGCGTGCCCTGGGTCGCTGGGCCCTCTCGACTCCCTGCAGCTCGTGACCCCGCGCCTGAGGGACGCGTTCCTGCTATGCAGCGAGACCAGAGAAAGCTTCGTGTGATGCCCAGAACTCGAGATCCCTCCTTGACGCTTCAGTGGTTCCATCTCCGCGCGAACACGTTGCTTGTATCGCTTTAAGGGATACTCATCATGTGTTGAAGAGAAGTCCAAACTCATGGAATGTATCATCATCAGTGGCATTAGCAGCATCACCTATGATGATCATCTGCATTATTGTAACTCTTATACAATTAACTGTGTATTGATGAAATCGATTAGAATGTTCGTTTTGCAATATTTACGATGACTATGAGATTACGATTTGTATCACGATGATGGTGATGATGATCACAACGATGTTGATTATGATCATTTTAATGACCACCACTCTGATTATGCTGTCTAAAGTGATGACCACAACGATTATCACAACATTAATTTGGAATACATCTTCGGTTGTGCTGCTATGACGTTCCTCCCACGTGTTTTGGAAGTTGTACCACGTGTTTTGTTGTTCGTCACGATGTCCGACGTTTCACCCCACGTGCTGGGAGCTTCTTCAAGAACCGAACTACATTCAGATGGCACTCAAGGGATGAACTGCATTCGGATCCTGAAGAAGCTCCCCAGCACGCGGAGTGAAACGTCGGTCATCATGCCGAACAGCACGCGGTATAACCCAAAAGCACGTGTCAGAGCCAATCACTCGGCAGAGCAGTATTACATGTTATTGATGCTGCGCTGACAGTGGAACACAAGCACAAATAACCAAAACAAAATCAACACATTCGGCACGTGCTGTGAAGGAGCGCAATTGCCCGAAACGTCGTCTATCATATTGTTATTCCTTTAAATCCGTGGTTATTCTTAACCTGAAGGGTGCACGCACCCGTGGGGTTGCGAGATGCCATTTTTAGGGGCGTTGAGACATGGCCAGATTTGTTTTAGAAGGTAAATCATCGAAACACAAATTCAGCACGGGCACGTAAGTTAACTTACTTTGTTTCTTCAAACCCTCTACGTGTTTTCATAATCCATCAGCCGATTTGGCAGTTCCCAGAGCTCCCACTGACCGCGAACCCAGGCCGACAGCGCCGTCTCGTGGCTCCTCGTAACGACGACACCCGCCACCGGGCACAGTTCACCCCGACAGCCCACAGCACAACAGCATCGTGGAAGAGCCAACGAAGAGGAAAATCCCCGGTGGTTCACCGTAAATCGCACCCACTGCACAGACCGTGGCAGATGCGGATGCCCTGACGATGCACAAATGGAAACATTAAAAACTCTCCAGTAGTGGTGCGACTGTGGTCATCCAGAACAGACGGTACAACGTATAACCATGGCAATGCCCCATCCACAAATACGAAGGAGACATAACGGCGACTCACTCCTCTGCTCCTGACGCGGTTGTCTTCTTGCTCGACCCACCTGAATGTGAGAGTCTCGTTGCTGCTCTGCGTCTACAGCCCAGACGAGACGTGAAGTCTCCAATGGTTCCGCTCACAGCGCCGCCCGCTACTCTTCTCGATGGTCGTGTGCCATATATGTACGCAGTGATTATCTATGGCAATTTAAGAGGCGACGTTTTGAGCAAGCGACCTTCATAGCGCATACAAAATATATTGTTTGTGCACTACTGCATCGCCAAAACACATTCCTGCGGAGGGAGCTGGTAGGAACGTTGGGTTGCTCGGTCAATGGCCAGGGTCAACGGCGGCGTGGTGTATTCCGCAAATATGCCCGACTGTGAGGGCGGGCAAAGGCCGGCGTGAGTAGGTTAAACGTTGAGTTTTTTATAAAGGCACCACGGGGTGACCAGCCCCTCTCCACCCAGCCCCACTCCTCCCACCTCCCACCCAGCCCCACCCTCCCCACCCAGCCCCTCCCCACCCTCCCCTCCCCACCCAGCCCCTCCCTTTCCACTCAGCCCCTCCCTGCACGACGGACGGACACAATAATCCCCTGTGGGCTGGTGTAACCAGGAGGTTCCTTCCAGTATCATGTACTGCAGTCGCTGTGTCTGTGAAGTGGTGCGGAAGGTGGCACTACTCACGCACTGGATGTAGGACACGTTCATTATGATCAGGGTGAACTGAGTTAATTTAGTGGACAGTATTATGAAAGTTAACTCAAATAAGAACAGTTACAATTCTTTTTTGATGACTCTACATCATCGTCATCCGTCAGCATCGTCGTTTGCAGCCATGGTTAATCCACTGCTGGATGAATACCTCGCCCAGCCACGACCACCACCACCACTCTCAAGATCCTGCAGACATACTAACCCACCGAGCACCTGCACACGGATATATTTCATCGCTCCGTCTCCCCGGGGGATGTGCCTTCCTATCCGGACACGCTCCATCCCTTGTCTGCCACTCAGTAGTTATTTTCAACCAGCGGGCACCGTTCCTGTTGGCCGCGCCGCTTGCTGCTGTCCAAGCCCGCTCGCCTTTCTGAACAATTTGAATGATGTGACGAGCGTGCGTATGTTCCTTATGATATTAATAATAATAATCAGTGTTATCACCGTCAGTGTTTCCAGATGAGGTTTAGTGAGCCGTCAACCCGTGTTATCTGGTGTCTGTGGTAGATATTGTGTTTACTTCTAGATTAAGATGTTTTTACTCCTGGTTCCTCCTCTGCCCGTTTGGAAATAAATGTTGAAACTGTGCATTGCTTGCTGTGTTAGATGATACATTGGCGGTGATACGAATCGTCAATTTAAAACGCCGCTCTGTGTGTGTATCCTCTCATTTAGTATATTTGTATCGTGATGTTCCCATCCGTGGCAGGTCGCTCACCCCCCTCTGCTGCCCCTCCACATTCTGGGACGACCCTCAGTAAATATGGAACTCTCGAACAATGTTGGTCGACACGTTGGGTCAACGTTGGCCCGACGTTGCATGTTTACTGGGCACTTTCCCCAGCCGCCGGTGCTGTCGGCTCCTTGACCCTTGTCAAGTCCAGCGACGATTTCTGTACGTAAAAATAAATATGCGAACGTTTCAGATTGTGGTAGTCGGAATGGAGTTCTGCGTATTTTTAATAACCAAGAGCAGATAAATGAGTGACTTTTGTCGACTAGACAAAGAGAATAACAGAATACAATCCACAGACTAGGTAGGACGTGACTAAAATCCCGCAGATTGTTGCTTCGACTAAACTTTAAATAAAAAACGTCGAACGCCAGCCTCGGGCTCCCATCGGGCTCAGTGCTCATCGCCGACGCTCATCAGAGAGAGCCTCGCAGATGACGGGACACTTGGGAGAAAACCCCATCAGGCTTTCCGCCCTCGTCAATTAGACGGAGACTTGACGACTAAAATAACAAAATTATTAATATAAAAAAACTTAAAAAAAATTAAAACTTTTTTTAAAAACTTTAAAAAACCACGCTTTACTGAAATGTACCGTGCTAGTAATGGAAGAACTCCATGACTCCATCAAGTGGCCCCGAAGCTTGCCATAACGTAAGAGACCGTGGTCAATTATAGCCAACGTCAGTTGTGCGTGGACAATTACACCCAAGCCGAAACATAACATATAAAAAATTATGTTTAAAAAATATATATTTATGATAGAATATAGTATTGTCATCAGTATGACATACGTATACCAAGTTTGCAGTCGATACTATATTAGGAAGTGGGTTACAATTGAGTTACACGATTTGAGGATACAACGACAACAGACAGAGTGAGTTAATAAAATTCGCCCATTCCCAAGGAGGGGTGAGGGGGTGAGGTGAGGGGGGGTGAGGGAGGGGGTGAGGTGAGGGGGGGTGAGGTGAGAGGGGGGTTGAGGTGAGGGGGTGAGGGGGTGAGGTGAGGGGGGGGGGTGAGGTGAGGGGGTGGGTGAGGTGAGGGGGGGTGAGGTGAGGGTGGGGGTGAGGTGAGGGGGGGTGAGGTGAGGGGGGTGAGGTGAGGGGGGTGAGGTAGGGGGGATGAGGGGGGGTGAGGGTGAGGTGAGGGGGGTGAGGTGAGGGGGGTGAGGTGAGGGGGGTGAGGTAGGGGGGATGAGGGGGGGTGAGGGTGAGGTGAGGGGGGTGAGGTAGGGGGGATGAGGGGGGGTGAGGGAGGGGGGTGAGGTGAGGGGGGGTGAGGTGAGGGGGGGTGAGGTGAGGGGGGGTGAGGTGAGGGGGGGTGAGGTGAGGGGGGGGGGGTGATGGGGGGTCCCACCCGCGATTTGCCTCGAAGACGTCACGGCCCGGAGCCGAGGTTGGCCGGCGTGCTGAGCGTGGACATGGGTCGACCCGCGGTGCTGGTAGCCTCCTTCCTGGGCTGCGTTGTCTACGTTATCGTCGCGCGAACGTTCCTGCCGGGACTCCGACAGCGGGAAGGAGCTGGTGCGTGGTATCGTGTGTGTGGGGGGGGGGGAGTCTACGGGGTTGTTAGTGTGGCGGTCGACCGCCCCCCGCGCGCTATCCCCCTCCCCCGGGGTTTGAGCGCTCGGCTCGGGCGACCGCTCAGGCGAGGGCGAGGCGTCACGTGAGGGGATTTGCGGAGTAGGCCTCGTTGTTAAGAGGCATCTAAATCCTCCTCCAGTCGTTCGATTCAAACACTTCGCGTGAGATTTGTTTCGGGTTTGCATTGATGAATAATGCAAACTAAAGGGAATTGTATCCTAAGCTGTGTGTTTGTCCTGTAAATTGTAAACGAAATTGCAGTGCTTTAAATTTTAGTCTCCCACTGTAATAATCACTGCGAGTGAGTGATTGGTGTTGGACACTGTTACTAACGTTGTTATTAGTTTATTTCAGTGGTATTCGCGAGTTTGATTTTGCAAAATCAGGTTTGTGTCAAGGCAGATAAAATGCTAATTTTATTTAAATGTCAAGACGATCTCAGTAGACGCAGTAAACGCCGCCAGTGCGCACACACGCACATTGCCCAAAGGTTATTCCTTAATTATCTCGTAAATACAAAAGGCTTCGTAAGTTGAATTCGTAGGTTTAATTATTCACTTAAATGGGGGCTCCTCTTTACCATCAGTGCAGATATGAAATATTGGTATGACTTTATTTTGTTTACTGTTCATATTGTGACGATAAATCAACTGAGAGCCTTAATCCACCCCGGTCATTTCCACAGCATCGAACGTACACACTCCACAGAGACTTTAGGAAGAATGTGGGCTGTCATTAGTATCGTCATGCTGAGGCCTTTTTTATTATTTTACACGCTTTTTTAACTCACTCCGTCTGTTGTATCCTTAAAAAAATAGTGTAACTCAATTTTTACACACTTCACAATGTGATATCGACTGCAAACTTGGTATACTTGTGTCATACTGATGACAAGACCATATTCTATCATACAAAATAAAAAATATATATTTTTAAACATTTTACACGCTTTTATTTAATTCACTCTGTCTGCTGTATTCTCAAATCGTGTAACTCTATTTCAACTGTCTTCCCAATGTCGTATCGACTGCAAACTTGGTATAGGTATGTCATACTGATGACAATATTATATTCTATCATTAAAATTAAAAATAAATATTTTTAAACTATCTTTTTTCGGTTCTAAATGTCCACGCTCAAATCACGTTGCCTGTAAATCACCACGGTCCCTTACGCTATGGCAAGCTGCGGGGCCACTTCGTGGAGTCGTGGAGTTCTGCCATTACGAGTACCGTCCATTTCATTAAAGCGTGTTTAAAATTTTTTTTTTAATATGTTTACTTTAGCAATGTGTGTGAACCGATTACGCCTGTAACAATGTGCCCAACTCGCTTGATAAAGGAGACATACTCAGAATACCGCGGTGGTGACGGAGGTTCTTGGACGAGCTGACACTTGATTTGATGGTGCATATTCAGTGTCTGTCAAACCGTTGACTATCAAACCGTTGACTAACTCCATGCATAAGCGACATTTTCAAAAACTATGCACGTAATTAACGCGTAGGGTTTCGCAGCCAATATTACGAATGCCACGTTGCATCGTTAAGGTGAATTTGAACTGTGAAGTTGCCCACTTGTGGTCATGTGACCCCAAATCCATTGAGTACGACATAAGTAGGTAGAACTCTTTTTGAACAGGCTTTAAAACCAGAAATAATATTAATGTTAACGGTTTAAAATATTTTAATATTTTATTAGCTTTTATTGGCCATGTAAGGACATATTTTTTAAATGTCAGGTGATATCAATTCCTGGTCTGGACCATGGAGGTAGAAGCCGGTCTCTAACAGTTGGAACACAGCTGTTGTTGATGGTGACGACGTTTGTGTTTGCGTCACTCATATCCCCGTTCTTCAGATGCGTCCCTTCAGCCGCAGGGGATGCCCCCTACTCAAGGCCCCTCTCCCCGTCAAGCCCCCCAAACCCCGAAGGCCCCCCAAAACACGAAGGGGTCTTCGCGGTCCAAGGAGAGTCGAGGGACCAACTCTGGGCCGAGCACCAGTTTCATCAAGCAAGTGCTGCCTGTGTACGGGTTTGGCATTCTCATCTACATCGTTTACATTCTGTTCAAGGTGGGTGTGAGCGGAGATGTCGTGACAACTACGTGGGGCCGACCGGTGTAGGTGGGAGAGGAGGTCACGAGACACGAGCACAGAGAGAATCGTGGGAGAGTTGAGATGCGGAGAAGAGAAACACTGGGAGAGAGAAACACAGAGAGACACGGAGACACGGAGGCACAGTGGCAGCAGACGTGGAAAGTTACACTGAGGGAGACGACACACGGATCGAGACATGGAGATACTGAGACACAAACACAGCGACAGAGACATGCATAGACTGAGAGAGGCGGAACACAAATTGATAGACACGGAGAGAGAAAAATACAGACTGACATAAATACACAGACAGAGACACAGACATGCTTGTATACGAACGGATAATGTTGCATGCCCCTAAAAATGTAGAGGCACTTGCACATATTAAATGCACTGTGTGTATGTGTCTGCAAGTAATGCAATTGAAAAAAATCAGCCTATGTATAAAATACTTGTTGCATTACACTTTCATATTGCAGGAGCTCGATTAACCATTACACATTCGATTTAAACAAGGCAAAGCAATGGAAGCTATGTGTAAACACATACCAAAAAAAGCTCCCCTTTATTACAGAATATGTAGGAGGTAAACATTTTTTGCAAATTGCCCTTCCTTAAAAAGTCCTTACTCTAACATTGTAATTTCCTAACATAAGCCTACTAAATATATTGCTGTTATAAAGCAGTGTTAAGAATGATGACTTTTGGTAAATCCTATAGCAGTGGTATATAGCCAATGCGATATGAGATTTCATGTGTAAATTGAATTCACAGGTCGCTTCAAAAAATGAGCCTCGGGGCATTATCAAACCCGTGCTGAACAAGGAGGGAAATTCGCAGCGAAAAATAAGTGAGTCCCACTTTTCTTCATTCTGGAATGTTGCTCTCCCTGGTCCTCTCTCTTCACTCAATTCCAATCCTGGGCCATCATCTCCACATCCACTCCACAGTCCTTCATATGCTGTTTCACTACTTCAAACCATCTCTTTCTGGGACTGACCTCTCGGTCTCTGCACTGGTACTTCCAATGTTCATCTTTCTTCTCATGTGGGATTCTTCCCTTCTTACGACACCTCCTAGCCATACAGGACTCGATGTTCAGATTATCTGAGATGCATACCACTCTTGCCCTTTTATTTGTGCCTTAATTTCTGACCCAATCCAGTTTTGTGATCCCTGAGATCCATTTCATCACAATAATTTCTGTGACTGCACAACTGTTTTCCAAATTCAAACCATTATGTAAATACCGATCTGAGTAGGTCCTGATTTTGAATAATGCTTGTTCAATTTTGTAATTTGGCTCTGATGATGCTATATTTAATTTTGAATCTGATTACATGTTCTGTCATATATCAGCATTTGACGAATGAAAATACTTTTTAGTGATGTAAGTATTTTTGTTGACACGATATTCTGAATGTGCATGGTGCTGACCACATCACCCCCTCGTGTCCCTTGCCAGCCTTCATAGGTGCTCACTAACAGCACTTTCCCGAACAATCTGTGTGATGTGTGTGCGTGTATTTCTATATACATATTAATATCTCTGAGTGTGTTGGTGAGCAGCTGACCGGCAGCTGGAGGAGCTGGAGCGACGTTTGGCGGAGACCGAGGTGGCGTTGAAGACTCTGGCCTCCCACTTAGAGCCGCTTGGCAATGCGTGAGCTCCATTCTCCTGTCTCTCCTTCATATGAAATTTTAAAATCAAGTGACGGTTTAGCAGTGTGTTAAGTTTGGCTATCCACCCCATGCCATTGGGAGCTACTTGGTGTAGAGTATTCCTACCTCCCGCGTAAGGTAGCGCAGTGGGTAACTCATCGTGCTACGAACCCGGCGGACCGGGCTTGATTCCTGCCCACAGCCAACACTGCTGGCAAACATATGACCGGGTTTTGTTTGCCACATCACACTGCACGTAGAAATACACAGTCACAGTACCTTACTCATTCTCTTTGATCAAAGCCTAATGTGTGCCTGCCTAACTCCTCGGTGTGTTCTTCTCTCCTCGCATTTCCTTGCGGGACTTTGCTGCTCCTGCTGCCTGCGTTCAGCGTGCAGAGGACCAGCAGCCTGTTTGAGAACGACTGGTGAGTCTGTGGCACCCGAGGGGACTGATATTGTTGTCGTCTTTCTAGCCCATGTGGTTTGTGTGTGTCTGTATGTTTCTGACTTGGGGAACTGGTGACGCAGTGATTAGTGCGCTGCGCTACGAGCCCAGCGTCCCGAGTTCAATTCCCGCTCACAATCACCAACACCCCAGTGACCATTATCTTAACCATTCCTGGGTTCCTCTAGGACGACTCAGCCTCAAATTAGTACCTTGTGTGGTGCGTAAACATTGCCACTAGGGAGACAACGGCGGCCGGGTATGGTGCTGACCACATCACCCCCTCGTGTGCCGTACTGGTCTTCATAGGTATTCGCTAACGGCACTTGCCCCTAGAGTCTGTTAAGGCTATTTGGGGGATCTTTGTCTTTGTATGTTGAACTTATTTAAAACCGGTGGAACGGTAGTGCAGCAGTTAGTGCACTGCGCTATGAATTGCAGCGACCCGAGTTTGATTTCTGCTCACGGCCAGCATCAGTGACATACATCTGAGCGGGTCTTAGGCCTCCCCTCAGTTGACTCAGGCGTTGGCTAACGGCACTTGCCCCAAGAGTCTGTTCAGGCTGTATGGGGGATCTTTGATCTTTTACTGGACGTAAAGATAATTCTAGCTCATTGGAATCATCCAGTATAAATAAAGATTCTGATTCTTTATCTCTCGTCTCGTGTGCGATTCCCCGGTCAGGATCGGCGCAACGGCCGAGCGGCAGGAGCAGGTGGTGCGGCGCTTGCAGGAGATGACTCTCACCTCCCGCGCCGCCAAGGGCTCGGGGCCCACGAGCGCCGAGCAGGAGGCCGAGGACTCCCCCTTCTCACTCGGCAAGGACCACTCCTCTCCCTCGCTTGAGTCATCAACACTCGTGGAGTTTGACAACCAGCCCGATATAGCAGACACAGAGCATTGGGCAATTGTTGGAGATTGAGTGTTACCACCCCCCCCCCACTCACCACACCGCCCAACCCCTCACATACGTGGGTTCTCTCCGGGCACTCTGGTTTCCTCCCACACGTATAAGCACTCAATAATAGACTTGGCCAAACATCTCGGTGTAGCGGGACTCTCCTGTCCAGAAGTCTCGAGTCTCACCGAGGCTTCACTGACTAAATAAATAACCTCATCATTATTAAATCGGTTAATCTGGAAACATAGCAATCGTTGCCCCGTCTTGTGAAGACTTATCAGGATTCTCCAGAAAGAGGGGTGAGGCTACCCTGGGTAAAACTAGCGAAAAAATAAAACAAGCGTGATCATTTACGTCATTTTTCTTTCGTAGATGCCGATGATGCCGAAGAAATGCCTACATTTGTGCTTCCGTCCTCCCGCTTTGCACCAACTCCCGACGGCCATCCCACCGGCCACCCGAGTTCTCGCCGGCCGGCGCAACGCGTGCCCGAGAACTGGGCACCCGACTGGCCGGACGACGCAGGTGGGCCGAGCGAGGCGGGTGAGCCGAGCGAGGCGGATGGGCCGATCCCCGGGAGCCATCGCCGCTTCATTACGACTCAAGGGGATGTTGGTGACCGTCGCAGCGGCGGTGAGGACGTCGGTGAATGCCTGCTGACCGGCAAGGCGTCGCGTCTCAGAGGGACTTGGCCACGCAGCGCTTGTGGCTTCTCTTCTGCGGCCGATTTTCCGTCGTCTCTCATCGACGAGCCGGTGGATTGGGACAGCGACCCACTGGTGGCTGCCGAGAATTTTGGATTTAATCGGAGCGACCTTTGCTGTGACCTCGACGATGGTGGTGACAGTGGTGGTGACGGTGGTGACGGTGGTGACGGTGGTGACGTTGGTGGCGGAAACTCCCGCGGTGATGACCACAATCACGATCGCAATTGCGATGACAATAGTGTTAGTGACCATGGTGTCCTTGATGATAGCTGCGACAATGACGGCGATCGCAAGCGCGGCAGTTCGAGTCCTGAACGCGCGAATGCCGGTGACGCACACGCCGTGAGGACTGAGCTGAGACGCCGCGTGATGCTCGGGTCACACGCCGACCCGGTCACGGGCTCGGAGCAGTGAACTTGCGTACGCTACACCACACGGCCACCGCTGTCGCCCGTCTACGTATCCATCGTGTGCGGTTGTTGAGCAATAGACGTGTTTAATCGGGAAAGCACCACATTGTAGGGTTGTGTTCCCGAGTTTTGTATTAATCCGAAGAATCTGACAAATTGGACTTAGAAACGACATTTAGGATACGAACTTTATTGTCTGGTTCGGATCGATTTGAAAATCCAACGTAGCGGGAACTGACCCCACATGTCACGTTAGCGTGTAATATATAAACGGTGTCGCATGACGTCGCTTTTATTAGCTCGAAGACGTAAGTTATTGCAGAATGTTCAATAAAATCATTTGTTGCGTCATGGTCTAGTCGGTGGGAACACCAGGAAAGTGTTCCTGCCACCGGCACATCACGTCCAGGGTACCTCTGGCCATGGCGGCTGTCACTGATAGTCACGCCACCTCCTCCTCCGGTCTGTCTCGCAGCGAAACTGGAAAAAATTTTGGTGAAATTCGGTGATCGCCGGCATCTTGGCCTCGAGCCGGGGAGAAAGCCATCGCGTGATGCTGGCTCGTTAGTTTCGCTCTTTCAATCTGTGGGGATGAGTGAGCGCTTTGCCTGAATGTTTTTTTATTACGACTGTTAATATCACAGCATGGAAGCGGTGGTTGTGTTAAGCACTGTGAAGCTCTAATGAAAGTCACTTTATTATATATGAGATGACGGCTATGATGTGGATGACGACGATCGCTATAACATTTGTTGCTGCCCGCGGTGCAGGCTGCCCGTGGTGCCTGCTGGTAGTACCTCCGTGGCAAATAGGCTACAACAATCATGATGCTGGCTAGAGGCGGGTCTACTCTGGCTGTGTGAATCGCATTCTGCTCCACTCTCAGTACACTTGAGCTCAATATTTACTGTGGCCTGGCCTGTGTAACACGCCCGCGTGATGCTCGCAATAGTGTGTGTGTGTTGTTTTACAGGTTTAAAGTAAAATATACTTTATAAGTAACGATGTAAAACACCTGCGTTGTGCCTTTTCCTTTATTTATAACTCGCTTTACTACCCCAGGTAAAGTCACGTAGGTAAAAATAAATAATAATAGAAATAACATTATTTTATTTCTATTATTATTTATTTTTACCTACGTGACTTTACCGAAAAAACCAAAGAGTATGAATCCTTGCAGTCACGAAAGCTTCAAATCTAGAATTACTACCCCGGCTTCACCACGCCCGGCCGCCTTTGTCCCCCCAGTGGCGATGTTCACACCACACCAGTTAATTATTTGAGGCTGAGTCGACGTAGGGGAGGCCCAGGACCGGTTAAAATAATCAACGTGCAACAAATATATGCATTCTTGAGCTCCCCCCCCCAAAAAAGTGTATTTTTATAATTTTTGCATGGTGTACAGTCTGGGAAGTACCCACATGGCAAATTTACAGTTTGTTGCATGTCGGGAAGTACGCTAAACATTTTGAACAGACACATACTCACAACTTTGCCTTTTATATATATGGAGATTATCGCACTTTTCAAATACGTTGTCATAGTCTACGAAAGCTGGACACGATGGGAATTGAAAACAATAATTATCAAAAACGCAGGACTCGTCGTTCGAAGGGAATGATAGCAGACGGCCCAGTTTTGGAAATTCCATATTTCTTTGACGGTGGTATTTGTTTACCGACATGCAGTGCACAACATTGTCAAATAGGGGGCAGGAGAGTACCGTACAATGTCACGTGGGTGCAGAGTTTTAACATTTTGGAATAAGTGGAGACGCAACATGATAACACAACGTAATGCGATAATTTCATATTCAACTAAATCAATGCCCAATTAGGAATGCATCATAATGCAAAGGTGGTGTCCGTGCCTCGTAATTGAGTTTTAATACCACGTGTGCAGTGGACGCATTACTCATCTGCAATCGATGACGGCGGCTCCACCCCACGTGCCTCTCGTAAGCCATGGCCACATGGTGAGCCATGATCAATCCACTGCTGTATGAAGCCTTCTCCCCTCTTCCTGCCCCTCCCACCCGACTTCTAAAGCCGCCCCACGATCCCGCGATGCAATCATCGACCACCTGGCATCATCATCATCAGCAATGATCAACCTTGTGGATTGCTCACCAACTCACCGCTCGCGCTGCTGGTGAAGCGGAAACACATTCGTTCACTCGACAACTTTATTCGTTGGCTGTGTTGGGTGGAGGAGGTGCCAACGACACGCATTTCACCCACGGCTCGATTATGAATCGCGTGATATCGGTCGGCGCATGCCCGCGTGTTGATTTGGTGGTTGCGAGTTTCGTATTCGGTGTTGCAGAATCGCCCAACAACAGGAACAACAACTTCTTGGTTCTTTCGGTAAAGTCACGTAGAAGGGAAGTAATAATATAATAAAAATAAAACAATAAAATAATGCTCACGACGTTTCGGCCACAACGCAAGCAGCCGTCCTCAGGTGAAGAAACAGGTCTGTCGAGAAGAACAACATTACAAAAAAAAACCCGTTCGCCTCGATTGAGACGTCATGGGGCGAAGTCGGGAGAGCGGGAGGAGGACCGGTTGAGGTCGGAAGGTACCGGGGAACATCTGGCACACGCCGTTTTGGCTACAAGAGCAACGATCCCCAGGTACAGCAAACATCAAACACCCAAACACGCGGGCAGCCCACAACACACACACGCGGGCATGCGTGGTGTGCCTGCGTGTGTGTGTTGTGTAAAACTATTACAATTAAGATTGATGTTATTGCGAAGAGGTGGAAATTATTGTTAGTAATTATGGTTATATGAAGGCCTCCTCATGCCGGCATTACTCTTCGTTTTAATAGTATATGCAGTGTGTTGTCGCTTAACTGTGATCCTTAAATATTAAATTGTTAGTCTCTGCTGCACTCGGGTTGCCTGGGTGAAAAGTGGGGGCGTAGCAATGCGCAATCATCGCCAGCCGCCTCAACAACTTAATAATCATCTTGATTTGAAGTTTTCGTGACTGCAGGAATCCATACTCTTTGGTTCTTATTAACTTAATAATAACCACCACCACCATTATTTTCATGATCCCATTTTGTCATCGCATACTTATCCTCTCATTATCGTCATCTTCATAATTATTATGGGCCATGGTCTATCCGCTGATGAATTGATTCTTACCAATGCCACAATCATCGTGTCCTGATCCTTATTTAATATTTGTGAGCCATGGTAACAGCATCATCACCATGATCACAATAATCATTGTCAGACATAGACTTTCAACTGCTGGATGAAGGCCTCACACCGCCAACATTACCACCACCATGATGGTGGGGTATGTTCTCTATCCAGCTCATTCCTGTACATGAACTGGTCTCCTTACCTCCCACTCACACTCACACAAAATACAAAGATCCCCCTGAAAGCCACACCAGACTTTAGGGGCAGATGCTGTTAGCGAGTAACACACGGCACACAAGGGGGTGGGTGGCCAACACCACGCCCGGCCGCCGATGTCTGTTACATAGTACAACACAGGCACGCGTGAACTGATATTGGCGTATAAAACATCACCGTACGGGTACTGATTTTTTTTACATGTATTGTTATCGCGCGTTCAAACTTGAGAACCAAACGCGTGAGTGTTACGACAACGAGAAGCGATAGAGCCCCCAGATCAAAATGCAAGTGTTGTCATTGAGTGAAATCGAGCGGTCGCTTGGTTTGCAGTTGTGCACGAATACGACCCTGGGCGGTGGTGGTGGTGGCGGCCTGACGCCGCGCGTGACGGCCTCTCGCCCAGCGCTGTGAAGGCAGCAGCGAAGGTTGGTGGATCACCGCTTACAAACGTCGCGAAACTCCCTTCCCCGTGGGTGGGAGTCGAGGAGGAGCCGTACTCTGGCGAGCCAGGAGAAGGCGGTGCAGCAAAGTGTGGCCATAATCTCCATCTGTCCCCTTCTGTATGGCATAGAGGTTTTTTTTTTTTCAGGTGCTCCGGTTTTCTCCCACGTGTAAAACACTCATTGATATTTCGAGAATCGCAGAGCTTGGATAATTTTTTGTAGCGTAGTTACTGCTGCCTTCTAATCTTGTGGATTATCAGCGATTGTGATGGATGCAATTTGCACGAATGACGACACGGTATATAAAACAACACATGAATATTATTATCACTCTACTACTCATGGACACATCACACTGATGTAGATTTATTGCCATGGGTGTGTGGTTACACTTACATCGTCATCAATTATCATCATCATATTGCTTTTGATTGTAGCCGACCACCACACGCCACATGTCGAACGACCAACGTATGGCAGGACCCTCTTGAAAAGGAGTCTTGAGACTCTGCGAGGTTTTCCTGGGTAAATAACTACAAGAGAGGACCTGGTGGAGTCGATTAGAATTGTGATGGTGCCACTCATCATGCGTCTCAATCACAGTGCCATTGTAAATTCAGCGAATGATGCTGCTATAATTCATCATCATCATGTATAATTGTAATTGATAGCGTAATCACAGGTATATGCAGATCGGCAGGCTGCGCGCGTGGTGGGATACATTGTAAATCCTCCTGCCACTTCTAAGACGTGTGGCCAGTATCCTCCTGCTAGAGGGAGCCCTCTAGAGCGGCCTCTAGTGGAAGCGCTTCTGCCAACGTTTACGTGAGCGAGCAGTTGCAGGCCTTCGCCTGATGTGTAGCCACCGTATTGTCAAAACAGCGTCTGTTGACATGTAGACACACGTGGACACAAACACGGCGGGCTTGTGGGGGGGGGGGGGGCTGTTAGAGGTCAGTGCCGGATTTAGCTAGTGCGTGGCCTGTAGCATGATGTTATAAAGGGGCCCTAAATATAACAAAATCACAAATATTAAAGCACTAATTTGTAACTTGCATAGTAAAGTAATTGCATTTCCTAATTTGCTATACAGCTAGATAATACGACAAATCGCTAACCTTAAACATCCAGTCGTTCATAAAAGTTGAAGGCGGTATAGTACTGTAGTAATACAGCAATTGCAGAATCACGGAACCGAAATTGATAGCTTGAAAGCATTTAACGCCAGGCCCTTGAAAGTGCGGGGCCCGTAGCATTTGTGGCCACTTTTGCTACGAGGATAATCCGGCACTGTCAGAGGGAAAGGTGGAATTGCGGGGTGCGGGACTGGCCTTTCTCTCCTTAGCTCGTAGCGCCCCCTTCCCGCAGGCGAATTCGCTTTGAGGCCTCGGGGTGTATGGAGTGGAGTTGGCAGGCGCACGACACGATGAGCACGAGGAAGGCCAGCGACCAGCCCACGGCGGCGGCGATCCAGCCGGTCTGGTCCACGCCGAGAATGCAGCACGCCTCGGACACGCTGCAGAACTGCGCGTTTATGGTTGTCATGTCTAGGGGGAGGGAGCAGGATTTGGGTGGAGAGGTTATCAGCATCGTCTCATTACTTGCAGAGGTGTAGTGGTATTGGCATAGGTCGTGGGAAATTACAATGACCACCACCATCATCGCGACCATCACCACCACCATCATCGCGACCATCACCACCACCATCATCGCGACCATCACCACCACCATCATCGCCATCACCACCACCATCATTGCGACCACCATCTCTTTTCACCTCACTCCCTGCATTATATCACAGAGTTATTGACATGGAACGTGTTGCGTTTGTGCACCACTGGTTCAGGAGATCGGCAGTATCAGCAGGGTAAATGATGTGTTAAACTCGCTACGTTTGTTTCATCGTTGGCGACGGCGTCGTGTCGAGGTTCTGCCCGTGACGGAGCGGATGGACGGACTGACGAACGGGATGGAGGCGACAAACATTTCCTTACTTATGCATTGCTGCAGCAGGGAATCCCCCTGTGGTGTCTGGGTGCCGTTCATCTCAGTCGAGCCGCACACGCCACCTGCACGCGCCGGGGAAGGACTTTCGTTGAATGTCTTTCACCCGGATGGTCCATTCAGATGAAGCATCTCTTTTGCATAGGATGCGCAGGGTGTCAATTAATACACAACGACATACTTTTGGGGCAAGTGCTGTTAGCGAGCACCTATGATCGGCCGGGTACAAGACGGGGGTGGGTGGCCAGCACCACGCCCGACCGTCTTTGTCTCCCCAGTGGCGGTCTTTACACACCGCACCAGGTACACATTTGAGGTTGAGTTGACTTAGAGGACGATCAGGAACGGTTCAGATGTTCGTCACTGGTGTTAGCCGTGAGCGGGAATCGAACGCGGGTCGCCGGGTTCGCGTTGACCGCTCCCCCCAATGACACGTATACATACACACATAAATATACAACTTTAAGTTTGTTGAGAGATCAGATTGACATCGTGAATATTAATTGTCAGCTACCCAAATATTTAAGATAAATTACGCTACGATAACCATCCCGCTATAACGGTGTTGTGCATAACGGACGGGACTGTTATCGTGGAGGAACGATGTATCGTCAAATGTGAGTACAGCGCTGCAGTGGCAAGTCCTACCGGGTCCAGGGACGAAGGATGCGAAGCATAGAAGCGCAGAAGCGACGACAATCAGTGGTGTCCTTGGAGCCATCACGCGCAGCAAGTGCAGCAGTTGAAGGGTTGTGCAGCAGGTGAAAGAGGTGTAACAGATGAAGGCTGTCTAGCGGTTGAAGGTGGTGTGGCAGACGAGAGAGGATGCGCAGTTGGAGGAAGTTCAGCGGTTGAAGGAATCGCAGCAGTTGGAGAGAGACAGACCCGCGTGTGTGTGTGTGCACAGTATATATATGTGTGTTTGTGTCCCAACAGGCTGTTGATGGCTATATGGGGAATATTTGTGTTTGTGTATACACACACACACAAGGCCAGATACAACTGGCGCAGTGGTGCAGCTGCCAGTAGTCTCGGTGAACCCATAACCCCTGGCTCTGTACCGTCACCTTCTTACAGACAGCCTTCCACACTTTAACGACGGCCTCAAGGTGCACCTAGCCTGGCAAAAGTGCATTGGGGACGTCACCGCCGCTTAGTGGCGAATTCCCGCTCGTGGCCAACACCAGTGACGGATATCTGAACCGGTTTTGGGCCTCACCAAGCTCGACTTGGCGTCTAATTAATATCTGGTGCTGTGTGTAAACATCACCACTGGAGAGGCAAAGGCGACCGAGCGTGGTGCTGGCCACCCACCCCCTCGCCTGCAGTTCCGGCCATCATAGCTTCTCGATAACAGCACTTGCCCCAGCAGTCTGTTAATGCTATATGGGGGATCTTTGTATATGTGTGTGATGCTGCAGTGGTGTGAAGGTCGAGAACTTCGATTCGACCTCCCAGCGCGGAAGTTGAAAAATTTGGTTCTTAAATCCACCTCCGCGTCTCCAGCGCCAGCAGGGTTTGTGTGTGCATCACAGTGACGTCGATTGGCGGATGGCGAGCGGTGGGGTAAAGTGTGGGTGCTCCCAGCGCTTTCAAGACCTCTGTGCCAACGTGGACGTGGAGGCCAAATGCCGCTCTACGTGGGACTATCTGTAGTGTGGAGGGCTCTTCCGTCGGCAGTGGTGCGAGCGAGCACTTGCAGGGCTGCGCCTTTACCTCTGTACACGTGTGTGTGTGCGTACGCACACGGCCAGAGCAAACTGGCATCACCAACAACAACAACACGGCCTCCAACCATCGCCACCCTCACCCACGAGCCATGGTCACTCCATTGACCCATTGACCTCGAAAGGCAAGATTTGGTGGTGTTCCGAGTTCGATTCCCGCTCACGGTGACGAATATCTGAACCGGTGCTGGGCATCGCCTAGGTCGACTCGGACTTAAACGAGTACCCGATGTGGTGTGTATACATCAGCACGGGGGAGAAAAATGCTGCCACCCGTGGTGCCGGTCACACCGCCCCCTTTGTGCCCTGCCGACCTTAATAGGTGCTCTCTAACAGCACTTGGCTCCAACAGTCTGCTAAAGGTTATATGCGGAGTCTTTGTGTTTGGTGCAGGAAGTTCACGACGTGGAGGAAAGGGGTTGGTGGATCACGTCCGGATTTGCGAAACTTCAGAGCGGAATTGTATAAGCTGATCGGCCAGGTGGCTCGGGCAGGGCGAGTGGCTGGCGATTGGAAGGTTGCAAGTTCCACTCCTGGTTTGGGGTCGACTCAGCCCATCATCATCATCATCATCATCTCTCCGGGGTGGATAACATGAGAACCACTTTATGGAGATGTCAACAGTAGTTGTCCTGTGGAAAGACTCGCCCCCGCCATTGAAATGTGGAATTTACACCACTGGTTCAGGAGATGAGCATTAATGGCCTCAATGCTGATCTTGAGAAGGATATCACTGACTTATTGTCAGCATAAATACATAACAAATAAATCAAACACTCCCTCTCAGGCAGTGATCTGGCATTAAATCCCCCCCCCTCACGCCCCTTTCCCCAAGCTCTACGATCCTCTATATGCAGGTATTGTTATCGGCCAATCAATGAGTGTTCATACGAGTGGGAGTAAACTGGAGCACCCGGAGAAAACCCACGCGTGCCAGGGCGCAACGCTCGATCCCGTGCAGACTGAACAGGTGGAGTCCACATCTTCGCCGTACCGCCTTCTCCCGGCGGAGCCAGGGTACGGTTCTTCCTCCTCGATGACCACCGACGATAAGGGAGTTCCACAGCCCATTTGTGTGTGATCTACCAACTCTCCACGGTGCTGGATCACAGGCAGGGATGCATCTCGTATATCAGCTACACCCTGGATTCCCCCCACTAGGTGGATGCTGATGCTCTGCTGCAAATCTCCCACGTGCTTTTGTGATGTGCCGCGCGTTGTTTGGCACGATGTCCGACGTTTCGCTCCACGTACGGGAAGATCCTTAAGGAACTACATTTATTTCCTTTCATTGTCTTGAGTAAACGTGCGTTTTGAAGTCTCAGAGCTGGAATTCAACCAAAGTGCAAAATCAAATTGAGCGTGATGGGTTTTTTTGAGTGCAGTCACGAACAGAGACAAAAAAGACAAATATCGCCCGTATAGCCTTCACACACGTTTGGAGCAAGTGCTGTTAGCGAACACCTAATTAAGGCCGGCACGGCACAAGAGGCGATGGGAGACCAACACCACGCCCGTCCGCCTTTGTCTCCCCAGTGTTGATGTTTCGAAACCGCACCAGGTACCGCTTAAGACCTCCCCATCTAGGAGAGGCCCGGGACCAGTTCAGATCTTCGCTATTTCGTATTGGTCCTGAGCAGGAGTGGAACTCGGGTTGTCAGTTTCGCAGCGCATTGCGCTAACCACTGCACCACCGCTCCCTAGGCGTGCACATCGTGACACTTCGTGACGCTTCGTGAGAGCGCCTACGATGGAACCACAACGCAATAGTTCGTCAAATATGCAAGTGTTTCCTGAACACCCCATCAGCCGCACACGGATTTCTGGGGAGGGTAGAAATTCAGCAGCATTGGTTCAACGCAACAAAAACTCAGTGTCTCATCAGCAGAGGGATCCTTGTTTGAACCATGTGATGCTGGTGAGCTTGCAGGTGCTTTGAGGCAAACGCCGTCTATTACAAACGGATCCCAAGTTCGACGATAAACTCTATCGCAAACGGCACGAACTAATGTTGAGCGTCGTTGTGGAGTATAGCAACAATCGGGCACGTGTAGCGTGCGCACAACAGAGACATTTTAACGAGGAAAGGCAGATCGTCGTGGTGCAGGGATCGCGAGGACTTGAGATTTGTGAAATCCGGAATTGGATACAACGCGTCCGTGATGGGAGTGGGGAGGTGTAACGAACCCTCGATGTGAGTGAGACCCATGTAAGTTGTTGTTCGCAAAGCTTCAGGGAGTCGGTCGCGTTATCGACTGCGGCCAACAAATGTTGTTTTGCATCACACATGTATGATTAATAACACTAATTACTATTACTGTGCGTAATCCCAGAGCGTACTGGCTGTGCGTTAAATAATTGATAGCTCTGCCTGTTATAATACTACTACTACTTCTAATAATAGACATGGCTTGTCTAATGTGCATCAAACAAGCGCACATTCCGTAAATACACACAAAGAAGAACAACATCACGCCAATAGTGATTCGTAAGTACGATGGACGTGCGATGAACACTCTTTGCAGGGCATGCCATCGGTGTGCGCACGCATTGTGTAGCTAAAGAGATGCATCGGAGAAACAACATCGACTGTTGGGGCAAGTACTGTTAGCGAGTAGCCCCGATGAAGGCCGGGACGACACACACGAGAGGCGGTGATTGTGGCCAGCACCACGCCCGACGGCCTTTGTCTTCCAGGGGTGCTCGTTTTAAGGATGAATCGACGATGATGATGATGACGACGAATGGCTGGATCGGCCACTGAACGGCGCGGAGGAGAGACGCGGGGTCCATGCTGCTATTGAATGCCGGGGAGTTCAAGGCCAGGTGGTGGGCTTCTTGAAGATTCGGAAGGGGTGGACGGCCGAACATCGTCGGTGCCGTGAAGCCCCCCCCCCAACGCCGTTTTCGTCGGTTGTGGTCGAGGGGGGGGGGCGGTCGTCTGCGCCATACATCACCCACGCGCTGGTCAATGATGCGGGTTGGTGAATGTGAGCGGCTTGGGCGAGGGGGCGAGCGTGGAGTCATGCCGCAACTGGTTCCATTACCCAACCGCTGGTCGGCGTCCGTAATCGAACTCAGGTTCGCCGGGTTCCTTTAATCAAACGCGGCGGTCCGCGGGCGAAGCAGCAGCAGCAGCGTGCGACAACCACTGCGCCACCGCTCCCGCGATGCCGTTTTTCGCGGTCAATTATCGCCTAATAAACACGCATTTATTTTAATTCAGGGTTCAGCCTGGAACGAAACTGTGTAAGGTGTGCCCGTCGGAGCTGCTCTCCTCCTCGCTACTGTTGTGCGTGCGTGCGTGCGCGTGTGCGTGTGTGCGCGCGTGTGTGTGTGTGTGTGCGCGCGTGTGTGTGTGTGTGTGCGCGCGTGTGTGTGTGTGTGTGTGCGCGCGCGTGTGTGTGTGTGCGCGCGCGTGTGTGTGTGCGCGCGCGTGTGTAGGGGGAGCGGTAGTGTAGCGGCCGGCACGCTTCGCTACGAACCCGGCGTCCCGAGTTCGATTCCCGCTCATTGCCAACACGAGGGACGAATATATAAACCGGTGCTGAGTCATCCTAGGTCGACTCAGCCTCAAATGAGTACCTGGTTTTGTGTGTAAACATAGCCACTAGAGAGACAAAGGCGGTCGGGCATGGCGCTGGCCACCCAGCCTCTCGTGTATCGTTCCGGTCATCATGGGTGCTCGCTAGCAGCACTTTCCCCCAATCAAGGCGAAGGCTATATGGGGAATCTTTCTATTGTGTGTGCGTAAATAATTAACACTCTGGTGGTATATTAATAATGAAAACTACCCTGACAGTAAATTTTCGATTCATGAATATTCATGGGAATAGTAATAACTAGTTATGCTTCATCATCATCATCGCCACCATCATCATCACTTCACTCTCCTAATTATAATATACGTTCGCAAACAAAGACCCCCGTATAACCTTCACTGCGTGTTGGGGCAAGTGCTGTTAGCAAGTGGCACCGATGAAGGCTGGCACGGCTCACGAGGGGGGGGGGATTGGGTGGCCAGCTCCACGCACACTGCCCCAGGTACTCGCTTTAAGGCTGAGTCGACCTACGCGAGGCTCAGGTCCGGTGTAGATCATCAACACTGATATTGGCCGTGAGTGGGAATCGAACCCGGATCGCCGACTTTGGAGCGCAGCGCCCT